CAGTAGTTCCAAGAAGCTCAGCTGCTTTCACAATATTTGAGCCACTATCCCGGAGAAAGAGCGTGCAATAATCCTTTGAAAGAGACCCGTCTTCCATCATTGCAGAGTGCTGCAGCAATCGACTTTCCATCATGTATGCCGGGAAGCTCCCGCACCTCCAGAGTCCAGTTTTTCGAGCTGAAAACATTCTTTACGTAATGGATTGTGAGCGAAATGTAGCTACGCGCATTACGAGCAGTCCAAATATCACTCGTAAGTGAAAAGTAAGTGCAGCCCGTAGCTATATCATCTTGAATCCGTGTACGGAGATCAGCTGCAAGAATTAATATTTTGTGGCGGATCTGTGTGCGCTTGGGCAAATCCAATTTGACACGAGCGAGATCGTGAGTTATGTAGTAAACAAAAGCAATGAAGCCTTCGTCCTCGACGATAACAAATGGTCGGAAATGACATGCAATCCACTTGGCAAGAAGTCTGTTCACATGCTTTTGCTGATCTTTTGTAATCGGACGAATTGGAATCTTCTTTCCAGATTCGGCACACTGCGCACGAAAGCTCTTTTGGCTGTGGCTACCTGCGCTGACATGGTACCTAGCTTTCCCGCGCTCTTTATCCAAAATAAAAGCTGCGAGATCTCGAGAATGGTACTGCTCCATGTGCTCCTTAGCATAGCTTTTACCAACCCTAAAGTCCACAATCGACTTACACTTCAAGCAGTAGGCGTTTTTTGCGTCCGCGTTTGTAAGTTTCTCGTCAGAGACGCTGCAATCGTCTTTTGCGAGCAGCCGAATAAACTTCCAATGCTCTATCTTCTTTTGTCTCTTCATGACAAAGAGCCGCAACCCAGTCTCGCGAATGATGTCCCTCTCCAGCTCAGTGAAGTCGACTTGAACAGAAGGTTGAGGTGCCGGTGTCGAGCTCTGAGTAGAGGTCAAACGACTGTCAGCGTCATCTCCAGTCGCGTTGAACAAAAGCCGTCGCGGATGCCTGCGTGCAGATATGGGCAAAGATGGCGGACGCTCCTGTCGACGCCCTGGACGCTGAGGCGTCCGCCGAAGCTGCTGGCTATGCATCAGATAATAAAGTATAGCTGAGCTGCGATCATTTTCTCGAGATGTTAATCATTGTTTTTGTATGCCCAAACACCAATCGTATTTGGAGCTCAGTGGGGGCAAAGGGAGGGAGGAGGGAGCTCGGAGGGAGTTCGAGCCAAGCTCGAATAGCAGAGTACCACAGTAGTTCACGAACGTTCCCGCACGGAACGTTGGCACCACTAACTGCTAGACAAATCATCACCGACTACAGTGCCCAACTCGGTGAATGCCTCACCAATACATCCCGAATGGTGAGTTACACGTCACAACGTAATGACAGCTCTGCGCCCAAAGCTTCGCAGTACTGCGCCGCAGTCTGCGGAGATACATTGAGGGGTCACACGTGAGTGATTTTGCTTGTTTCTAGGCTGTCAAAGTCCGATGCAGCCGGCTTTAGAGACAAGAAAAATAAACGGGGGTATTTCTGGATATTTGCAAATTTCTTCGTTCTCATTGCTGTAGGAGTGGCTGTCACGGACGCGGTCCCCCAGTGGCCTTTAAACGAGATCGCTTTAATTTGTAGGCTGATCGAATGCTATTTAGCTTGTTCTTGAAATGTTTGACGGACGCCACCTGGGGCTCACCATTGCCCCATGTATGCTCAGCTAAAGCGCGTTGATGAAGCATATTGATAGTATCCATCCACATGTCTCGGATCGCCTTCGTGTCTGAGGCTTTCAAAGCAAACTTGTCCAGAATCAGCTTGTACTTATAGCGAGCCTCAACTGCCAGACCAGCAAGCTCAACAATCCAGCGCATACTTGTTCCTTGTTTGGTTTTTTCAGCAGCGGATTTTGAGCCTTTACAGGCCTTCTTGTTAGAGAGTTGTGCAGTGATGCCATCAGCTGCGCTTCACTTGGCTGAGGTGGGCTTACCCTTCTTGACCTTCCTGCTGTCTGAACAGCTAGCGACTGCATTATTGGTCCTGGAGCTAGTTTTGTTCGTTGCATTGTTGGTTCTGGGTGATGCATGGGAACCTTGACGCCCATTTTGAGTGTCATTGCTAGGCACTTGAGCTGGCGTAGTTAGCTGTGCAGAAATACATCAGCTTCGCGCTCTCTTTGGTGGTGAATCGTGAGCAAGCGTATATTGCAATGCGCCTTCTAGGTCGTGTATTACCTGCGAGCTTTCTTCCTAGAGCTGTTCTTTCATAGTGTGCGTAATAGGACGGCAACCCGAGCGATGGCGGGGGCTGGGAGGCTCCTGCTATGTGCACTCTACTCACATGATATTCGTCAGCTTGGTCAATGAGTAGAGAGGCAACCGTCGGTGATCACTGCAGCGATACAATGTCTGTTACGAGCTGTACTCGAGATGTGAAAGTTGCCATATCAGAAAGAACCTTTTAAACATAATGTTGCAGTGTGTAGTATCATAGGTGTTGTCAATAAAAGCTGGCTGGCCGATTTTTGGGTACATGTAGTTGCAAGTTGCAACTTGCAACTTCTCCTACCAGTTTTTTTTCTGTGTACCAAGAAGTCAGTGATCGATAATCTATCATTTTTTTATCTGGACAACAAAAAACGCTATTAATAATAGGGTGGTCGCGTTTCGTTTGACTGGAGTAAAGTATGGTAAAGGTAAATATATTGACACACTCCATGGCCAGTGACCAAAAAAAGTGGCAGTGAGTCACTGCCAATTTTAGATTAGATTTGCTGCGATTATGTGCGAATTGTCTCAGCTAAGTACGAATAGAAGCTCAAAGTCTTTCAAAAAGGATCCCGGGTAAGTGTGATATTTAGACAAAATCAAGTGGCAATCTGACGACGCAAGTTTCAACCACAGATAAAGTGTTTTAAAGGGCAGGAATACATGTACCTCGAACAGCAAAAACGCACCCGTACAATTTGCACATTGAAAATGTTTGAAAATATTATCGAGGGTGCCAAATCGTATCAAATAGTAGCTATTATTAGGGTTCTTCTGTCCGTTGTTCGGGTAAAGCGCTCGTGTGGTTGGAAAGTATGTTTGACTGGCCAATCAAATTAAATCTTCGCTTCCACTTTCTTGAAAAAGTGGAAGGCCAGTGAAGGTTAGTTATGATTGGTGGAAAACCATTACTTTCCAACCGTGATAACCCCTAATAAGACAGATAATATTAAGATCAATACTGAATCCCTAAACAGCAAAAACGGGGTACGCATTGTCATTGGCCCCTTTCAGCAAAACGTTGGAACCTCTAACCTGGAAGTTTTTTTCTAGGTTCGAGGGAAAACACTTTCAGCATACCACTTTTTTCTCCTCCAACCGCAAAAAAAGTCACTAAAAGTTCCAAGTAAACCTCGGTTCAGTGCCAAAGTTTTAGGGAGCGGAAGAGGTCCCTGAAACGTGGAACTTGTGAGACTGGATAGATTCTCCGTGGCACTCATTTTCACTCCCCCCCCTTCAGCCTGCGCATGGATAGCGGAGAGCCCGAGGCAGAGCCCCTGGGCTCTGCGGAACCTGCGTCTGTGCGAGCTCTAGAGCCTGCGATCTCTGACTTCAAGCGCAACTGGACCGACATCACGATCCTTGCTCTGGTGCGCGCGTGGCGCGCTGTGTACAGAAGTGGTCGAGCCAAGGACGAGAAGACGACGATGTTTAACGAGCGCATTTTCGTTGCTTACCAAGCTGCCGTCCCGTCGACTTAGCGTTCAAAGAAGGCAATAGAAGATAAACTCCAAGGACTGCTCAAGCACGTCTATTGCACGCAGAAGAGCTAAGCCAGCGCCGCCAGCAACATGATGAGCACATGACGCTATTGCGAGCTTTCTTGGACAAGCTCTAACGCATTTTGCCACGTTACGAGCGACGAAATGCCCACCACTGCTTTAGTTTTTCTCGTAAGTTGTTAGTCATAGCTGGCTCGAGCTCCGTTTGAGGCTGTGGGAATTTTCTTTCGTACTCCTGCAATACACTCTTTACTTCTTCTTCATCGATAGCGACAGTATCACTGTAGTCCATTAGGAAGTTTTGAATGATGCACAAAGCGTACACAATGTCTGGAGCAATCTCCGTGTCCAAATCGACCCCCCGGAGCAAAATGCGCCACCTACATTTGAGCTGTCCAAACGCACATTCTACACGGTAACGTGCGCGAGTAAGATGCTCGTTGAGGTCTTTGCAAAGTTCATCTTCTGTCTCCGCCAGCTCAAATGTTGTCACTAAGAAATTGGTATTTTGATAGCCAGAATCTCCTAGCAAAAACGGTGGCAGATTTACATGGGTGTCATCTCCAGTCGGTATCGCCACACTTGCCGCAGCCGCAGACACACTGGGAAACACCCGACCCAATGTGCTGTTGCGAAACACACGACTGTCACCTACGCGTCCTGGCCACTTGCAATCCAGGTCGCAAAACCTCCCCCTCCAATCGACAACGGCTTGCAATACTACACTATACCAGCATTTTCGATTGTAATACATGTCTCCATCATCGCTAGGTCGAGCAATAGGTATATGTGATCCATCAATACAGCCCACAATCTGTGGCACACCACACAACTCAGTAAAATGGGAAGCACATTGTACCAAAGGGGGGAAAGCTACTAAATCCGTGAGCTCTTGGCATACAATGGACGACACCTCGCGCACGATACCGGAGACTGTAGATGCAGCAGTCCGACGTTCATGGGCCGCGACCTCTTAGAATATATAGCCAGAATGATTGTGGAGAGCACGCAGCACCTCCAGGGGAAGATTTGCTGAACGCATGGGAAAAACAAAGCTTGGAACTTTTTTTTTTCAGGTTCCAGGTTATATTTTTGCTGAAAGGGGCCATTGGGTGTAGACCTGGAAAGCACGACTACTATGTACAAGTAGTACTTAGACGTGGGAACAAGCATCAATGAGTTAGCTATCTACTCCCTCGTGCAATGCCAACACGCGGGCAGATAATTTCAAGCATCCCCGGATCAAAAAGAGGGTAATCAAACGACGTCGTGATCTTAATATCGGACAAGCACACATCTATCCGACCTTACTCTTCGTCCGAGTCCTCCTCAGAGTCGTCGTCTTCGTCATCATCGTCAGACTCCTGTAGCCAGTCAATAAACTCTTGTATATCCTTCTTGGATGCAGCACCAACAGCATCCAAAGTTTCTTCCTCATCGACATTTGCCTGTTGGGCCTCGTGCCATTCCAGGATCACATCTTCCCCGACCCACTCCAGATCGTACACAGTCTGCAACAGAAATCGGAAGAGCGGGAGCCACAACGCCCGACGCTCCTCCGGCTCGGCACAGTATCCTTCGAGTGCGTCCACAATAGCCACTTGGTCCTCCTGTTCCACTAGACACCGTTTAATCACCGAGCTCCACTTCTGGAACTTGGCACGCACATCGCCCAGAATCGCCATCGCCGACTGTCCATTACCCGTCGGGATTAAGTCCAAGAGACCAGGCACAATGGCTCCAATCACCTCGGCGAATGACCGGTTCTGAGCGAACTTGAAGCTCTTAATCTCCATGAAAAGATCGTCCACGTTGTGTCCTGCCGCATCGCCAGTGTACACGTTCTCGCGGATAATCTGCTGGAACGGCACCTCCAACGCCGTCGCGTTAGCCTCAGCGAGAAGGTCATCTTCGTCCTCGTCTTCTTCCTCTGACGAGCTGAGCGTGTCCCATTCCTCCCAGCGGTGCATCTTCTTGGACACGACATCATTTGCTCCAATCAAAGTGCTCTTAAGCTTCTCCAGGCGACGTGCCTGTTTCTTGGCTTCGAGTTGCTCCTCGTCTTCGTCTTCGCTGTCCGAATCCACTTCAATGTCGTCCTCGTCCAGTGTCCAGATGCGTCCGACGCCGCCAACGCCAACCTCCTTCGGGTCCCACTGGATCGGCGTGTTATCTGTCGCTTGGTGCTCCTGTGTCGAAGCCTCCTCGTCTCCATCTGAGAAGAACCCATCGTCTTCTACCTGTACCAAACTCTTCGTCACCTTCGTGAACGGCGGCAACGTGAAGCCCTCGCCAATAACCACACCGAACGAGAGCACGCAGCCCTCACCAATGACAGCTCCGCGCTTCACCACCACGTTGTCACACAAGATGGCGTTCGTCACGACGGCGCCGTCTTCCACGACCACATTGGACCACAAGAAGCTCCCGTCGATCGTCACCTTCTCGCCGATCGCACAGTTCTTACCGACGGCGCTCTTCCGCACACGTGTGTGCTCTGCAATCGTCGTCCCCGCTCCCAAGATGCACTCGCGTTGGACGTCGCACGTCCTGGCCAGCGTCACATTGGCGTCTTTGTAGCGCATGCCACGCAGGTATTCGTAGTGGGTCACAGCTCCCGCGCCGAGATAATTGGCATCCGGGACCATTGGGAACACCCAGCGTTGCAGAATCGCCTGCGAGACGCCGGCGTACGTCCTGGGGTCCATCACTCTGGCTGCAAACTCGTCTGTAATGACCTTAACGAAGAACTTTTTGCCCAACTCGTAGTTCTGCACCTCGTTATGGAGGAAATCTCGTCTCAAATCTTGGTAGTCGAAGTCTTCGGCGAATTTGAGCAGCACTTCGGGGGAACAAATGTCCAAATAGCAGTCCAGGAGGTCACTACGTAGCGCGATCTGGGCGTGGTCCTCGAGAAACAGAGTCGCGAGACGTGTACTGCGACGATCGGGCTCGTCCTCGTACAGAACGAGCTGCGACGTGGCAGCGTCCACGCCCACAACCAGCTCGGCATCCAGCGGACGGACGCTCGTGGCGAAATTGGGTCGCAGTTCCTTAAAGATGCTCGTCATGATGCAGTTCGGGTCCGCCTTCTTGCGGCTCTTGTGTTCGGCGATCGCTGCCTGTAGGTCCACGTTGGCGACCACGTCGCCACTCATTAGGACGAACGGGTTGCTCTGAACCAACTGACGGCGGTCCAGTTCGCGAAGGGCGTCGCCGGCTGTGAGGCAGCTAGGACTACTGACGCACGTGACGTCCAGACGCTTTGCCACTTGCGACTCGTTGTCGATGAAGCGCTCGATGGCCTCGGCGTGGCCTGTGCAGAAGAGCAAAACTTCCTGGACACCCGACGCAGCGAGGAACTCGAGCGAGTATTCGAGCATTGGGACGTTGGCAAGCGGAAGAAGAACCTTTGGCAGCGTCAGTGTGATGGGGCGGAACGTCTCGGAGTACGAGTCGGCGAAGAGCACGGCCTGGAGCGGCGCCTCGCGACGAGTATCATCGCTGGCGGAAGCGCTCGGATTGCGGCGGGGCATATTGGATTGAGTGGCACCGACAAAGTTGGTGTCGCAATTATTGTCAAGTAGAATTCAAAATATAATTTTGAAACCAAATGATGAAGCCTTCTATTTTAGCTTTTTTTCTTTACAATACGAGTACCGGTATTAATATGCAGGGCCTGTGGCTCGGTTTAATACAATTTTGAAACCTTCACTTCTACTTCCAAACATTACTCGCCAGCGTTCGGGGATGCCACTACTTGGCTCGGCGTCGTGCTCGGCTTTCGATGTGTCGACTCGCAAGGTACCATCGCTGGCGCTGGTGCCTCGTGGATATCTGAACCATGCAGTGCGAGCCAAGAAGAAGGTAGCGGGCAGCATTAAACACTCAAAGCAGCAGAACCAGACTTCTGAGCGACCTCGAGACGAACCAGACGGCGCTTCTCCGTCTCCACCGCATCCTGCGCGGCGTGAATCAATCGGCGACACTTTCAAGGAATCAGACGACCAGCTGGAACCTCCACAGGAGTCCAAAGCGGGTAATGAAGAGGAGGGAGGAGAAGTTGACAACCACGAGGTCGCACAATCAGAGCTGAGACTTGGTGAGCGGTTTCTAAACATGATGGCGCTCATGGCTCGCCTTTCGACACAGTCCTTAGGAGACAACCAGGTGCCTACGCTAGCGAGTCCAAATCGTCCGATTGGCAGCTCGCTGCCCTTCAACACCGATAAACCGCTCTCAAGCACTCCTCAACGAACTCTCAGTGCTGCCACAACTTTGCCACCTCAGCAACAATCACCAATTAAGTCTTCTCCAACCTCACCCGTACACGCTGTACGCAAAGTAGCCAAGCGACTACCGCGTGCATTACAGGGTCCTCTCACTTTCGACATTTGCATGCTCCTACCTACTCCTTTAGACGAACGACAAAGCCCTTTGCGGTCGCCAGTTCGACGGAAGCGACTGCGAAAACGGGTGCGTCGTCGATTGCGCCGTCGATCTCGACGCTCTTGGCAGGCGTCGCATGCCTCGTGGCCACCTCATGCTTCGGCCGACTACATCGTGGATCATGCTCGGCAAGACATTGCAGGCATCAATGCTGCTCGCTTAGTGCAGCGTCTAGGCGTGAATACCCAGGCCCTTTCTCGAGCAAGCTCAATGCCTCTACCACCACTGAAGTGGAATAGCAGCAGCATCCTCCAGCCCAACGCGACGGATGAAGAAGACTATCAAGAAGCTCATCGTAGCGAGGACGACGAGCAAGAAAGTGACGGTGACAATCTAGAAAGCGACGTTGATGACGAAGACGAGGACAACGCCCTCACCTGTAACAACAATGATTTAGATAGCAACGAGGTGAGTTGGAGGGCTCATGATAACTGGTAGATTGACTCTGGTTGTGCATGGCTACTAACTCTATGTGGCACTTATCGTGACTACTCTGCGCAGACGCCTTTATCTACTGGCAACACTGAGGCGACGACAACTCCATCTATAAGCGAAGAGCAAGAAAGAGTTGCCGACACAACCTCAACCAGACGGCGACCGCTTTATCACCAGCCAGCTTGGATCTCGCCAGAGCTGCACACCTGGCTTGTCACGTCGGGGTTATTTGCGACCAAGCCACGCCACGAGTTGCTTTCCACTGACCTCTAAGCACGCTTCCACCTAAATATTAACACCACGGTCGCAGCCGTGGACTCGCATTTATTTCACTTCGTCCGCTTCTCATCGCGAACTTGTCGTCCTGTTGCTTTATGTTTTGCCGGACTTGTATGTGCCCGCCGGCGGTTTGTAGCAGTCGGGCAGCATTTTGCGCTGCACCTCGTTGAAGGCGAATTTGTCCGCCTTGGTGTTCATGAAGACGTTGCGACGACGCACACCATAGAGCCGCATGTTCGCACACAGCGCAGCACCTTGAGAGGCCTGCAGGTCAGCGCACAGCAGTCGCGCCTGCTCGAGCGTCACGGACATGGCCGTACGGTCCTTGCCGCTCTTGCAGCACGTCACCCGCGCTCCCCCAAGAGCTCGGCAGAAATCCGAGGAATCCATCAAGAGCGCCACGTTCTTCTTGTACTGACTCGTCGGAGAGCAAATGTGGTGCTCAATCTGCACCAGTAGATCGTCCAGAGCTTGCAGATCGTGGCGGTCGATGGCCATTGCAGCTTCGTCCGCGTCATCGATGGCAGAAGACGAGACGGAGCTGCTGGCTCGCAGTCGACGGCTTTGTCGTACACGGTTCTCCGTTTCTTCGGTTCGAAGCTGTCGATACAGAGTGTAGATTCGCTTCAGTTCGATCAGATTGTCCCGGTTCACACGCTCCTGTAGCTTGACAGCGCTGGACTTGTACGCGTGTACTAGACTCTGCTTCTCGTTGACTCCTTGGGAGAAGAGAACGCAGCGGATGTGAACGACACCGTCACCCGAGACGAGAGACGGTGGCAACACCGACACGTGCTCGTCATCGATGCCCATGGTAAGCAGCAAGCAGTTGTTGTCGTTCGCGTTGGATCCCGACGGTGTATACTTCTTCAAAGAGAAGAAAGTGCCTGTGGTTGTGTGTCGTCGGAACTGGATAAATACGTTGCGTAGCCACCGTGCGCCAGCGGCAAAGTCCTCCAGCATACCGTACTCTTTGCCCTGTGTACTCAACAGCGACTCAAAGTTCATAAGAAAGCCAAACGTCGGCGCCCGGTCGATCTGCGCTTGATGCAAGGCGCTCCCACTGAGCGCCAAGTCCAGCGACGCCAGTAAACAAGCCGCTGTGGCCGATAGAATCTGACTGCCGATCACAGTAAGACGGTCCTGCAGGTCCAGACGCAGCTTGAACGCTGCCAACGAGTCGTCCGTGGTCGCTGTCGTCTGCGTTGAAGATGCCGACACAGGCGATGTCGGACTCTGGATTTCCTCGTCGTTGCTGCTTTCCAGTAGAGACTCGTCTTCCGACGCACCGGTCGGGGTGACGGTCAAGATTGCAGCCGTAGACGGGAAGCCTCCGTTTGCGAAGCCCTTGGTGTGTGCTGCAGGGCAGCCCATAGTCATGGTGTGCCACACAAAAGGTCGAGACGAAAGAGGGACACTACGTCCCTGTTTGCTGCTGGTCGGAGGCTTGTACGTGCAGAGGAACTGGTCCTGCATGTTGGTGGGCAGAAACTGCCACAAGTTGAGGTTTTTGTACGTACTCCGCTTGAACGGAGCCACCGCTTCCGTCTCTGCTGTCGATGCTGCACTCGCCGCAGACGAATTGGAAGCTCCCAAGGACTCTCTTTCATTGGCCACAGAGACCGTACCAGCACGCTTAGCTGCCAAGAAGAACTTGCCATCCTTTTGCTCGTCCAGTAAGCGTTTTTCCTGTCGGATGAGGAACTGGCGCTGCTTGAGATACTCTTCCTGCTTCTTCCGCAAGAACTCCAGCTCCGTATTCAATCGCTCGACTTCACGAGGGGCAGCAAGCTTCGCGTGCAACTGCTTCTGTAGCCATCTTGTTCGTTCCAACGCTTGCTCTTCGAGGAAATCTAAATACGCAATCGGCAATGCAAAAGTACTTCGCGGCACTCGCAGAATCTCATCCACCGCCACAAAGCGAAGGTTGCCGTTCGGAGCCTCATTCAGAGCCCCCAACCCGGTACCAGTGAGGAACGTGTCGTTCTCCATAAACGTCCGCACGTCGCTGCCACGAATCGCACCGTAAAAGTCATTACGTGTTGCTGTAGCCATCTTGCCAGCCGTCTCGCGACCAGGAGCAAGCGTTGTGGGGATAAGATACTTGGCATTTGCCATGTCCACGCCTGTAGTCGGGAGCACGCTTTGTGGCGGCACTGACCGGAACGCTTGAACCACTAGATGTACACTCTCACTGTCACTAAATAGACTCGAAGACGACCCACTTCCGACGGGTAGAGGGCCACCCGGTTCTCCAACTTTCTTCTGTGGCATTGGATTGTTCGTAACAAGGGAATCTCTGGACGACGTACTGCGTTCTGTCACTGTCACTGCACACGGCGTCGAGCCTAACAACTGTCCATCCAGCAGACACCTCCCCACTCCAAAAGTGCCTTGAACATTACCCGGACTCTGCGAAAGTTGCGTCTTGCACAACGCCAGTCGGAGTTGGTCATATCGCTCCAGTTCCGCCGTCATAACAACCGAAAAGGGCACGGGAGCTGGATCCCCCGAGGTGCCACAAGCTGCTATACACGTGGCCACTAACGTCGTCAGTTTGACTGCATCGGTCACGCCAAGTTCCACAAGCGTGTTGCTACTGCGGATGTAGCCACTGACAGTGACGAAACAGCCCGTGCGGTCTTTATCCTTATCCAAATGTTCCACTGATTTTGCCAGTTTGCTGTGTCTGCCCATCATCACTGAGATTGACAAGTCATATAATCGACGCGGCGTGTTTTCCGGTGTTGCAGACCGCGTGGAGCCACTGGCACTGCTGCTAGTGAGTCGATGCGGGTTGTGGTGCCTCCTCGTGCTCATCTCCACGTCGTCCACCCCGCTAATTTCCGTGTCGTCCCAGTTCTGTGATGATGACGCACTCGCCTCCAATAAAGCAGAGACATTTTTTTCAGTGGGACGGAAAGTGTGTACGGCAGTCCCTCGCACTAGTGACGAACGACGACCGTCCATGGAAAAACTCGACACGGAATTGTTGACCGCGAATTTCGACGCTCGGATGGCGTCGGCCAGTTCTTGGCACGAATCGATCCACCGCTTCTGGTTCTCGCGGCTCTCGGCTTCCAGCAAGAGCGTGTGCGCATCGGTTCGGATCTGGAACCGGAACGGGGCGTGACCCCCGCCACTGCGGTCCAATACGATCGTGTCTTCGGTGACGGGGATCTCGCCTAACAGCTCCAATTTGTCCTCGGACGTGAAGTAACACAAACTCGGACAGTCGCTTCGAAGAATGAAAAACCTCGTTTTCCAGTTGCGTCGCCAGCTGCCCTGTTTCGTCAGTGTGCCAGCGCGAAGTACGTCGTCCGCAGTGAACGTCGACGGCGCTATAGGTCGCATTGGAGTGCGCTGTTTCATCCTGGACGCAGTTTTCGCTGCTTTACCGCGATGGCGTAACGCGCTGAGCACTTTGGAGCGCTCTTTCGTCTCGAACACCTCGTTGTGGAACTTGCCAAACGTACTGCACAGCGCTGTGGAACGCGCCGTCGTCCCTGTTCTCTGTTGCATCGGACACACGCAGTTTTGCCAGTTAGTTTCTTGTTTTTTTGCCACTTGGCAAATAATTCACGGATTTATTAAACTGAGACTTTACCACTCCGTCATTCAGGTCGATGGTGCCAACGGAGGATGACGTATTGTGCAGGTTGCTGAGGAAGTCGTCGTCATCGACGGCCATGATCTTTTGCGTCGGGTCTTCCATCGAGTGCGATACGGAACGCACAAAGGGCTGCGGGCCTTCGACCAGGAATGTGCGAAGGCTCAGCGGATACGAGTCGTAGATGGTGGCAGCTCCTTTGGCTGCAAGTCGCGCTCTCCCCACTGCCGCTGGAGACGCCATCGCAGCAGACGATAGCGATGACGCGAGCGAGCGTGCGATGGAGAAGGAAGAGTGCTAAAGGACCAGTGCCAGAAGGTAGACAGACGACCGACAGACACACAGGGAGAGAGGGATAGGCGTTTTTTGTCCGTCCCGTTTCTGACCCCTTTGTCTTGGAATTTGTAAGCAACGCATTCGTTCTTTTTGGACCAGCACACATTTTTATTCGAGACAATGGACTTCTTTTTTTTTCAGCAAAAAACCCTATGTGCACAGTACATACTGCGCGTGCAGCAACCGCGAGTAACACGTGCGCCTTTATTGAAGGCGGAGCAAAGCTCGGCGGTGGCCAGCATTATCGCTGGCTGCAAGAAGGTGGTGGACCAAGATGTACATTGCCTTCGAAATATCCAGCAGCGCAAAATAGGTAGACAAATGCACCCGTACCCACTTTCATGAAGCCTATTTTTCAACCTCCAGGCCGACACCTTTGGCTAACGTAAGTTATTTAAGGCTAACGTAAGTTATTTAATAGTGTAAGCTGGGGCGCCAAGCACCGCGCAGTGCAAGCATGAGAAGGGGTATCGATTCAGACGTCCGGTGCAGCCACGATGTGCAACTTCAATGTGCGCGCGAGGCGCCGACTTGCCCGAGGCGAGCGGTGGTCTCCACACTTGCGGATAACTGGAAGCAACTCGCGTCAATTGCTTTTATTATTATAGCGCTCTTCACTAGTCTGAAACGTCTTCCACAACGCGCGACGCGACTAGTCAACCCACCGAAACCGGATCTTCCGACGTTCATGTACACTTGCACCTTCAAACACCGGCAACAAAAAAGAAAAATAACGGTTATATTATGTCAACTTCAACTACGATGAACGTCTCAAGTATCACAGGCTCACTTGCCTCTGAAAGGCAACGGCAAAGTCCTCAAAGCTGACGACACCCTGTCCACTACGGTCCTTATCGGCAATCCAGCGCTGAATTTCCAAATCCGAGAGGCGACGACTTTGTCTAGCCATTTGCCCATCCATTGCTCGCCGCAAGTCGATAAAGCTGATGGCTCCGTCGCCATCCACGTCGTACTTTTTGAAAATCACTCGCAGCGCTTCATTTTGTGGTTTGGAATTCTTTTTCGCTATTTCACGGCCTTGTCGAGGCTTTCGAGGTCGATTACAGGACGCCGATAACCCACCATCAGAGCTGTTGCTTTCGAGGTCTCGTTTCCGTTTCCCCTCTTTTGCCGACTTGTTCTCTAAGGGTTTTCTTTTTGCACTACTTCGTCTTGAGAATTTTCGGTTTTCCTCCTGGGATGTACTTCTTTCCGGAAACGGTGAATACGCATCGGAGTCTAAAGCTTCGTCATCTGTTGCGTCTCTGCGCTTATCTCTTCCGTTTTGTGTGGATCGCTTTACGAGATGCAACGCCGATTCTGCATCAAAATTCAACCGAGTTTGGATAACGCTTGGGTTTTTCTTAGCTCGAGTTGAAGTTTGGCTCTCCGCCAAATCAGCCACTTTAACGGGTGAGACCGACACCAGAGACCTCTTCAACTTGCCTTTGTCTTCATCCGACCTCATTGTTCCCACTTTGACACTTGGTTGCTTCTGTATGCGATGACGTGATGCCGTCTCCGAGGAACGGTGCACCAGTTTGATGGGTTCACTTGCTTTCGTTGCCTTTCCGTGCCATTCTTTCCAGAACACGTCAACACGAGGTTCAGAGTTGCCTGGTCTTGTTTCCCGCGCCTGGTGAAAAGCAACAACCCAAGTTGGGACTCCCACTGCTTCGAGTTTGTCAAGGAATATCCGACTGGGACTTTGTGCTGAGAAGTCGACGCAGATACAAAACACCACTTGCATGACACGTTTGCACACAGCAACATGTTTCCTCGATAAATTACTGGAATGATTCAGTTTCCGTAAAAAAGCAGCTTCCTTCGCGACGATATCATGGTGCAATAACAGCCTAAACAACTCAGCAAAAAGCATCTGAATGTTTACACTCGTTTCACAGCGAGATGCTGCAGCTACCAGCACTTCCAGAAACATTACAGCTTCTAATCTTTGAAGGAGACTTGCGATTTGAGTTTCACTAGAGTGCGTGTTCAGACTGAGAAGGCGTGGTAATACCACAGAGCCCAAGAAATCCATGTCGAGGATTCGAGATGTGACCACGCGACTGTCGAAATAGAGCAACATCGACCAAAGTTTTTGCTTCTCTTCGATGTTTAAGATCGTATTCCATTCACCGTTTTCACTGGAATTATTTGCCAGCAAGTTGAGCACTTTTCCAATATCCACACAAGTGTTTAAAGTGGCAAAAGCCACTTCATCATATGTCCTAAGCTGTACAACGTTGGTCAGTAACTCCACGCCATTTTCAATGAGCGTTTCCGTTGTGTTGCCATTACATCTCGCTGCATTGGCCAGGTTTGTCATCCAGCAAATTAATTCTTGGAGCACATTTACCGGTTCGCCACTGTCTTCAGCCTTAAATGCTGTCAGTTCACCGATATCCTCTACCGAGAGCGCTGGATGAGAGATTATCGAGTGCAAAAGAGAAAACCCCGCGGTAACCACATCCCCTTGACGTCGCGAAATCTTCTCACGTTTATCCGCGGAAGACGAATGCAGCGTCACAGTTCGCCACGCAGTTTCCATCCAGCCCCAAATGTCTTTGCAAACCGGAACAAATGCACTCACACGAACTCTCGCCGAGGTTGCAGCGTGGTATGAGAAGAGCGTTTTGACGTACAGAATCACTTGCACCTGTTCATTGATTGTTCCATTCAGCTGCGTGATGTCTCTGGCCAGAGCGATAGCGTGGCTCACTTTCCCGTAGTCACTACTGGAAATGAGGTCTCGCTGGAAGGTCAAGTCACGAAGCGCCACCGTGGAATCCACAGCTTCTTCTCGAAATGTCCGAGATAGCAACAACGCTCGCATCAAGCCAACAGCTCGATTACTCGCAACACAAACTACCTCTTCTAGCAATAAGCGAAAGGGCGAACAATTACGGCAAAGACTAGATGGCATCGTAGTAAATACGCCCCACTTGGCGCAAGTGTCTTGGCCGAGTCGTTGGGCCTTATGAAAAACCTGATTCATCATATTTGCGTCCTTCACTTTCAAAAACGGCAGAGAATTTGAGTTGCCGTTCGCAATTATCAGGTGATCAACCCCCGCCACACGCCAGAATTGTGTCGTGTGGTCGCCGCCATAAAGGCAATTTACCAGCCACGACATCCCCACACAAAGGATTGCAACAAGAGGGTGCTGGCTTCTCGACGCACTGGACGCGCCACTTTCTCCTAGCACTTTGAGCATTTTAATCGCTGTGTCCAACACGCGTTTCACCTCAATTACTACGCTCTGAGTACACAAACGCAGGGCAAAAACTCGCTCTGGGCAGGAAAACGAATAGACAGCGGAATTCGAGCTCCGTAAGGGATCGAAGCGGAAGATGCGAGTACTGCAGTCGAGTAGCGACAACGCACCCAACACAATCTTCTCGTCGCTGTCGCGGAGAAGTGCACAGAGGAGGCGTTCAAACCGCAGGTCTTTCCATACATTTGCCACCAACGACCGAAGAAAAACCATGGGAAAGCTACGTTTCCGTTCGAAAAACGCAGGACCGAACAGCTGCTGAAGCGCGGCTAACCGGAACTTGGGGACGCTGACTCCACTCGTGAGTTTGAACTCAATCTCTTTCGTTTCGTAGACACATCGCAGATACTTGGCTGTCATTGGCGTTGCAATAGTACATCCATTTTTCATCAATTCCTCTTCTGCCAAACTGCTGGGAGTATGACGAGGCATTCGAGGATCGTGGTCACCCCACCAAAGATTCGTCTCGTCACTTGGTCCAGAAGAAGCGTCGTTTTCGACGATTGTGTAGCCAAACGGTGGGCGTCGGGAATCGAGCCACTGCAGCAAAGTTGCGTATTTACTTGTTCTCATCTCGATGCCTAATAAGTTTCGGAATAAAGGCTCACTCAGTCGCCATAGCACTGCGTTTTCAGCAGTGTCTAGTGAGGTTTCATTCGAGACGTTGGGTGGCACTTGTCCGCTTGCTCTACTCACCACACACTCGAGTATTTGCTGCACGGTTGCCATCAAAAGTGAGTGGCTTTGAAGCTCGTTAAAATCCGTATTTGTTTCCACAAGTTCAAGCGCGTCGGCAAAACTGTGTAAAAGCATGTCAACCGCCTTATGTCCGTTGTCTCGGTTTCCATGTTTTAAACTCTGCGTAAAGATCTGCAACGAGATTGCACAAAGCTGGTAAGGAACACGATTATCCACGAGATGACCCAATGTCGTTGCAAATATCCGAGTGCCAGGGGAATCCTTTTTCGATGTTTTCAGCTGGAAAAACCGTTCGAGAAGCACTGTCCAGTTCTTAACCACATGCAACAGGGTGTTTTTATTGCACGATTCGTCATCACATTCTTCAACACACACTCGAAGGTCTTGACTCAACTTGCGAAGCCGTCTCTCGAGTTCCACAAGAGTCATTAAATGTTTCGATAGTGTGTTTAAAACCTGTGATTCGTTCGATAAAACTTCGATTCCAGGACGTCCGACAAATGTCCAAAGTGATAAAATCCCTGGTCGAGAATTTGCTGGTTGTAAGCACAATAATCCAAGCGCGCAGAGTTTTTCAAGTGTCTCACCGTCTCGAGTTCCCACTCCACATGCAATAATTTGAGAAACACTGCTGAAATCCGTCAACCCCTGGAGTTTATCACTCTTACTAGCCACCAAGCGGAGGAGTTGCCTCCTCATGTTGCAGAGCGTTTCGTTGTCAAGGTCTCGTCCAACTGTGTCCACAGTAGATTCAACATTATCCTCGATACGATGCAGCAAAGTACGGACGAACACTCCAAGCGTTTGAGCCATTTCTCGATCGATTCGATCATCGTCCGCGCTCTCTCGGAACGCCCCACCCGAAAGTGAACACCAGCGAAGATCGCAGCTGTCCGGAGATACTAAGATCATGTCCAAGTTGACGTTTCCTCTCACACTGAATCGTTGACTGTGCATGGCAAGCAACGCCATCAAGACACGAAGACTCCACGACCAAAGCAGTGGCGTCCAGTAAGCAACAGACGAAGGGGACAGTCGGATGATTTCTAAACACTCGGCAAGAGACGTCCACCCGGTCAGCGACTCCACAACGACGCAACGAATCTCGTCGCTGTCGCCTCCACACACCAACGATCCATTGGCCGTAGGAAAAATTGGAGCGTTCATAGCATCGAGACATACAGGTAGGAAAAAGTCTCGAGCTCGTACATGCTGCAACTTGCGTAGGAACAAAAGCTCCTGTTTAAAACTGTTTCCCGCTTCCTCGTCACCATCCATGATCACGCATAGTACGGCTAACGGAACGCAATCTTCGTGGTCCTCTACTCTCCCACTAGCGTTCATCGCGAATCGATCTCGAGAACGAATAGAGTCGCATCGATTTTCGAGGGTTATCGACGATACCTTAAGGGCAACAGACGGTAGAGGGGTGTTGAGGAATCGCTGGAGCTGCTGTAAATCCTCCACCGTAGGCTGCAGAACGTCCACGTCTGCATTTCTAAAAGTATCGATCTGTAACGCGTTCTGACGTTGAGCTAGTTGCCGCAACTCCGTTTGCCACTTGCGAGTCTTCAACTGCATCGCGTACGATGCCTCAGGTTGACTCTGGTCGCTTTCAAGTAACTCGGTCACGTAGGAGCACAAACGAGACATTTTAGAGTCAAAGAAGCCCAAGAAATGGGTGCATTCCACGATAAACTCAGCCACAAACAGTGACGAATAAAGTGCATCCGTAGTTGCTTCAAGTGTCAAAAGAGTATCGTCTGGTCGCGTAGATCTCACAAATCGATGTAGCTGGTCCACGAGCCTTGGAAATGCGTTTCTATCGGATGCGTTGGTGAGACCAAGATCCACAAACAGCGCGCCTAGCTCTGCAGCTGTTACACTAGTGGCTTCCACGTGACGCACGATCAAGCCGAGCCTGTCCAAAGTGATACCCTGTTCACGATTAAGTTCCTCAGCGGCGGCCACTTCCTTCAGCACGCGATCAATCCAAGCAGCGAAACAAACGCAACCGCTATGCTCCCTCTTAATTAACTCGATAAGCGAAGAGAACTCGCTGGATGGCACTTGGCTTAGCAACTTTGAGAAAAAGTTCCCAACAGGATCAACGTGAATTTGTGACTCAAAATTTGCAAGCATCAAAGAATTTATCCCCCTCAGAAGACTGTCAGTCGTGTCATCTAAAGACCCGCCCTGTGCGATGATCTCTCGGATGTTGTCTTTCACATTCTGAACTAGTTTAAAACACTTGTTGCCCTGCACGCGCACTCGCTCTTTACGTGAAAAATCCTCTCGAAAGCGATGCACACGATCCGCCTCGAGTCGATAAGAGCTTTGCACAGATAACGCTCGTCTGGCGTGGTCTAGTTGGTGCTGCTCTGATTCAAATTCGCTGCCTCTCAAGTAGTTGAGCGCAAACTTCCAGATCTGGCATTGGGTCTGATCTGTAGCTCTTGATTTCACTACTGCGCCAACAACGACAACCGGAGGAGCGACTTGCGTTTCGTTTGCGTTGTTCTCTTGTTTTAAACACTGCGGCTGAGTCAGCTCCACCTGCTCGTCGTCTCCGTGTCTATAGAACATTTGCAGTTGGATAGCGACATTTTCATGATACGACGCTGCAAATTTCACAATTTCGTCTCGCGTTTTCCATAAAATTCCATGATTTTCAAGATCTTTGAAAAAATTGTTGACTGATTTTTGAGCAAAAATCCCACTGCGAGAAGGATGTAACGCAACGAGAAGCACTCGAATGATGCGGTGCTTCTGCAGCACCACTCGTCTTGCTGGGTTCTGCTCCACTCCACTTGTAGGCATTAAGAAAGTGTCAAATTCGAATGCAGAGTCCTCCAATGTCACCAGTCTCAAGTCGAAATTTTCAGCTACTTGTAACCCAAATAATCTCGCCATCGTCGAACAAGTAAAGGGCAAATTTCAGCGAATGAGGATGCAATGGCTGTAACACGGTCACTTGGATCATACTGGACTTGGCTTCACTGTATCCATCTCCAAGTGTCTGACAGCTAAGCGACTGTAGTTCTTCATTGCGCAACGGAATTCTAAGACACACCAAAGGAGAAATCGATGAATTTTGGTCATTGGCGGTTGACCAGACGATGATCGCCCCGTCTCGAGACGCGACAAAGAGCAGAGCAGCACAGACAGCAAGATGCACCGTAGTCGACGTCTTGGTATCTCCAAAGGTGAAAACTCGCTTCCTCTCCAATGCCTCGTCTGCTCGTGATCCTTGTGGTAAGATCCACATCCCAACGTGGCGATAGGATTTCGCTGAGGTCGTAGCGTACAGCTGCGTTCGAAATTCCCCAGAGGGCAACTGTGTGTCGACAATCTGGAACAAAAGCCGATAGTTGCTCGTCTGAGTCACCTGCAGGTTGATATGACACAGAATCTCTCCACTTCCAGCACACGCAAGCCATAAAATACGCTCACACCCCGTTAGAAACACGATCTTGGATCCATCCACTGCTACTTTAAAATACGTGACAATCCCACTGGAAGACACAGTGTCGCTCTGCTTCTTGTCTCGTAATGATGGCAGCTTTACTTCCACAGACTTCACCGCCACTTGGCGAATGGGACACACGCAATAGTTCGCCAAGCGGAAGAAGCGGAACGTCCCACTACCAGATTCCTGCAAGATCGACGAGTTGATACAAATAACCGAGTCCCACGCACAAAAGCTAACGAGCGCACTAGACGCTTCTGTCCGGCGTTTAAACCGACGAAGACGGGACGACGTGTCGGAAGATTCCAATCGATTGGCATCTATCCAAGCTCGCATAAAATTATTGCCACTTGACTCACACTTGTCGGTTGTATTCTTCGTTGAAAATAACACATTTGCCTTCGATTCCTAAGGAATATAAAACTATGATTAGCTGACGCGAATACAAGACATAGAGTCTCTATTAGAGACACAAACGCACCAGTACAGAACCGTTGCTCGAGAGATTCCAAATTTCCATCCTACCGTCAAAGTACAGAATCGCCAGTCGTGACGTGTGGGACCCGGATGCAACTTCGGCAACTTGTCCACTGCCAATCACACGCACTCTGTCCAATGGTGCAGGAAACATCTCGGGGGTCGACAAACGCTTGGTGTGTCTCACAAAGTACTCGATGTCAGGCCACGAGAGCAGAGCAGAGTGCTGGCTGTCGACAAAAAGTCGTTCCAAGTCTTGACACACACTGATGGTTCCCTCAAGCTCTTCCATGTCTATATGAACATCCTCAGATACAGTCACCATGTGGTCTTGGACGTCCTTGTACAGTACACTCGACGCAGTAACGCAGACGCTTGAGCGGATTTGTAGCCTTTCGTAAAAGTTGTGGAAGTTTCCAGTAAATTTGTGAAATGTCTTCTCAAAAACGTCAATGGAACTTTTACTCTGGCTTCGTTTTCCTCGTTAAAATTCCGTAGAAAACGTTGTGGAAGTCGAAAAATCGTCTGAAATTCTTCAAATGTCACCTGGGAGTCAGGGCTGCTTAACTCGGTTTCCTCCGTCTCTGACCGCAATAAGGAAAGGTAGGCATTCCGACGGACAATCTGCTTGATGTCGTGTAGAGAGAGACGCACGTTTTTGCCTGTTTGAACAAGTATACCCTCCCAATACGCTTGTAGTTTACAGATCGATAGTTCATCGTTTAGAATCGATACCCCAGTAGAGGAAGGGTCGTTAGTACAAGCTGCAAGGTACCGCATCGAGGGCCCCAGTTGCAAACTCGACGAAGCAATGGGAAGCATGTGAATGGGTTCAAACGAAGTCACCAGCGTAGCTTCAAGATTCGAGACAGTGGGAAATTTTTCCATAGGAATCGATGCCTTTTCCGCACTTCTCACCGCAATATCGACAATGATTTCTCGTACCATCGTCTAGCTCATAATGACCATCAAACAGTTAATAAAAATATTAAATAAAAATAAGTTTCGCAATAAATAAATCACCTGTGTATCGGATACCGCGAGACACTTGGCAAGCTCCGGTGGTGACAAAACAGTCGACACAAGCGCCTTCGCTGGATGGAAAAACCGTAAAGAAACTCCAACGCAAAGCTTCGTTAGACCTGGAGAGTGTTCGTCACTCGTGACCTTAACCACCATTCGCTCCTCGAGTAAGTTTGGAATCTCCGCTCCAATACGGATAAATGCCCCTCGCAGCACGAGCTGACGCGTTCGAACAACGATAAAATCGTCTCCCGCAGCGGCATCAGCTGCCAACATCATCGTGTGGCCATTCTACAATTTCAGTAAGAAAAAAAGTTAAAATAATAAAATATTACCATTTCTCCGATGCAATCAATTTTTTACTATACGGCTGGCGGTGGCTTGTTCGGTGCTCTCCGCTGCGTCGTTTTGCGGCCTTCTGCTCGTTCCTGTCCCTTAATAATTGTATTGGGCGATCGAAAAGTTCCAGTAGAACGTTGTCGAGTTAGCGTTCTCCTTGTCTTGTCACTAGACTTCACCCCACCACGAGGTAAATCGGTCAAAATCTCCTGCTCGATTGGGTCAATCGACGTCCTCGCGGACTGTGGTCGTGGCTTCAAAGGGGCTGAACTACCTTTCACTTTTCTGTACCCTCGGTTCGTCGAATTAACCTTTTCAGGCTGTTGGCGAGTTTTCGAGTGCAGCATTTGTTTCTTGTGTTCCAAGTGCTCTCTAGTACCGAAAATTGGCTTTGTGACAGTATGGCGTTGCTTTGGTAGATTTCGAGCATTTCGAGTGTTCGGATCCAACTTTTGAGGCTCAACGGTGGAGTCTTTTGAGGTTAATCTCTGATGCAGTATAGCCAGGCCAACTTCGAGTTCCAGTCGTCGTGCTCGTATTTCCGTTAGAGAACTATCCGGAGGAATAGCTAGCGTACCCGAATCGGTCTCTCGAAAGCCAATCGATAGAAAGAGCTCCAATCCACCTTGTACACAATTCACAATTTTTGTGAACGTGTTGGTAGCCGTATTAACCTCTCTGTAGCGAGAATTCTCGGGTTGATTCTCGACATTCCGCAGACACTTGACAGCTAGTTGGACGACACGCGCCCAGTTCTCCGAACTCCGTTCCATGGCCGAAATGGCTCTCGATACGGCGCTAATGTCACTCACAGAGGGGGTTTTCATACCACGATAATGTCCAGCCAGCATCGACGCAATAGTTTGGATTCTAGATACCGTAGCGGAATCCAGAGACGGGGGTACTTCTGAAACACTTTTGGACGTTCTAAAGCGTACTCGCTGCGGCTGAAGCTCGTAGTTTCTAGATTTTCCGTCGTCTGGATGCGAGGATCCTCGGAATCCAGCAAGACGAAGCAGCTCTCGGCCAGCTGCAAAGCGGAGAAGCTGGATTCCTATGGGGTCCTTGTCATTTATCAGCCATAACGCCGCATTCCCAGGCTCTTGGACGACGCAGTAGAGGCGGTTTATGACCCCTTCCAGTACTGCTGCAGCGACGACACAGCTCGTTTCCAAGCGCAGAGCTCCTACAGCCGACGAAATGGCTTCACACAGCGTAGGATCGACGTCATTATCTGCCAGAGAGGCCACTTGTTCACCGTTTTTATCTGTTTTCAGCTCGTACGGATGATCCAACAGAGGCCCAAGAGCTGCCACGAAGTCGTGAGTATCCACTTTTCCGTCCTTCCCGATGTCGAACGCGTCAAATCTCGACCAAGCTGGAAGCGAAGAAGAGATTCCATACACGCGCGAAAAATCTGCTTCGAGTAAAAATCCATTGTGCTCTACATCCATTGCGTCGAATACATCGCGCATCATGGCGATCTGTTGTCTTTGGATACTAGACTTGTTGAACGTCTCGATGGCGTTGGTCCCCGTACGGATACATCTTCACAAGCGCGGTATCTAGTGTAGTGTCACTTTGGATTTTTTCACTAGTAATAATATCTCGTGTAGTATTTTGAGATTGCGAGAAATGGCCAACGATATCGTGAAGATAGCGCATCTCATCGTCCAAAAGACTGTCGATCTCTTGCTTCCGACGCCACAGAAACCACTCCATCTGACTGCTGACACTGGAAAACGCAAAATTTGACAAACTGGCAGATATTTGTGACTCCTCTTTCGATTTTTTCGCTGTCATGCCAGTTCCTCTAAGTGTGAACACGTTTCCATGTGAAGTTTGCATGAGCTCAAATCCAATAGACCCCATCAATTCCGTAGCGTAAGGTAAATATCCAATTTGGCGCTGAAAAGTGCTGTTGGCTTCTCGGATCCGCCAACATCTCGAATCCTTTGGATTTTTCAAGATATTTTCGACATACGACGACAGATTCTGCAACGTCGTCTGACACTCCTCCAGTGTAAAGCGACAGCCTTCGTGCTCACTCGCTTTGGATATTCTCTGCAGAATCGAGCTGAGACTTTCGACCCCGTCGAAAAGTGACAACTCGCCATCCAGTTGGATACATTTCTCCCGTATCGAGTCCAGCGTGGATTTTTCGAGTGCACTGACGCGTTTTCCTTCAAAATTCCGCGCACCTCGTAGCTCGTAATGTGTTTTCAGGTGTTCGACGAAGCCTACCGCCTCTAATAGACTCGTTGCGCCATCAAAACGCCCAATCTTCTGCTGGAAAGCGGCGTTATCGGCTCGGATTCTCCAATAATCTGCGTTATTCGGGAAGCGCAAAATTTTCACACAAATATTCCTGACCAGTCCGATAATCCGCCGTACATCTGATAAATCCACACGCATTCTCATTTTATCCACCGCATTCCGGATAGTCGGTGCAGACGTCAGTTCATCAATAATAAATCCACAGCTTCCGTAGATTTCCACTAACGAGACAGCTCCGGAGCGTTTTCGAAGTGTCGTCAGCGCAGGTTCCAACCGAGACGGGTCAGCGGATACTTTAGCGGCAAATGCAGATAACTGCGACGTGTCTAGCAGCCGTTCTTCCTGTGGATTCTCACTATCCGTACTTAATAGCGACTCGAAGGCTTGTCGAAATCCAAGAATTAAATCCGCTTGGGCTTGAGTTCTCCCAACAGAGAGACGACGTACTAGATCTCCGTGACGCTTACAAACAATGTCACCGTTCGAGAACAAACACGACGCAACAAACGCAATCGGCCTCAGCTCAACTGCGCCACTATAACGTGCAGTAGTTGGATTTTCGGATCCATAAAGTTGGTAATAACAGCATAAAAACTCGGCCAGTACCAGCGTGTGATGAGGGTACAGTTGCTGTTGTTGTAAGTACACGTCCAGCGGTTTATTGGGCACCGCCTGCCGTGCCACGTGCTCGAAGATTTGTCCCAGTTCGGACACTCGAATGCGCGACGGGATCATGTTCGGCAGCGCGTGGTCGTGGAAATTCCTCTGGAGCGTCTCAAAAATCCGAAATCCTAATTTCTGCTGCCACAATTCTAATTGCCGTTTAGTCTCGTGATACGAAGCGAATCTTCCTTCCAGCACCGTCGCGACACTTTGCTCCATCCGGAGCTTTCCGAGTCGACATTTCGCGTACGCAAACGCTAACATGAGTGTTTTAAACTCAAAGTGACGATGGGTTCGGAGGTCGTCGTGGGTTGCGAACCACTCGGTTAGCAGGTGGCGGACTGAGTGGCTGTCGTCGCTGGATTTTGTACATTTGGAGGCGGATACGAACTCTTCCACGAGCGAGATTATCCGACTGCGAGAGATTTTACCAGATTTTTTCACATCGTTCTCCTTGAACCTTTTCTTGTAGTTTCGCAGGGAACTGGAATCAAAAAGGCGTTTTAACACCTGTAAAAGATACGAAAAATGGTAAAAACAACGAAACGGATGTTGTAACCAACTACGTGTACCTTGTCCACTTTGTTCCTCTTGCTGCTTGACTTGGACGATCCGGAACCACTTTTGGAACTGGAGGAGGAGGAACCCGAACTGGAACTGTCATCCCCACGAAGAAGCTGCAGCTTCGGTTTCTTCTTTAGAACACCTTCCTCAAAAAGCTACGTCGGGAAAAGCGTTAGTCGTTTTCCGGATCCCTTTCCTAAGGATTAGGTAGAGAGTACGAACCGTCATTGCAAGCTGCTCCAGTAGAAACAGAGATTCCGTGCCGATCCCACTGTTTGTAAACACTGTTAATAATCCTTGCGAAGATGTGATTAACAGAGTGGTGTCTGTACCCTTTCAGCTTTCGTTTCTTTCCCCGTCGTGGAGCACTCCTCGTTCCTGAACTTCCGTCCGATTCGGACTCTTCCTTCTTCTTTTTACTCGACTTTAGCGCTTCTGAAGGCGCATCTTCCTCCACTACCCCATCGCTGTATCGAATCTATCAACCCGATGAAATCTAATTATCAAACTGTAGAATACTAAAAAGAATCCTGGATAAAAACGTACCGTGTAAGTTCCATCCGAATTTTTCTCGAGCACCGTCGCCTTTGTCCACTTCTCAGTCATCCGCGGCCTGGACAGTCGACTCGAACGTCTCCAGCTACTCAGAACGCGTTCGTGACGCCGGAAACTCGGACCTTCTTTGGTCTTCATGTGTTTTCGACTGGGTGGTTCATCTTCGGAATCTTCCGAATCGGAACACTGTACTAAAAGTTTTCCCGCCACCCTCTTAGCCGTGTCACCATTGTCGTACTTAACGTCACAGCTTCCATCCGAATGCATCTTCCGAACGACCCCAATTCGTCGCATCTTTGAATCCTCCGCGTTCCGATACGTAACTCGGGCTCCTTTCTGAATCGGAACGCGTTTCTCGTGATCCGAAGAATCCGACGATGAGAGATTTTTCTTCTTTGGCTTCGACTTAGATATAGAAGGTTCTGGATCCGAATCCGAAGAGTATTTAGCTGACGTCGCCTTGATCTTCTTTGTCGTTTCGCATCTTTCCTGGCTTCCACCAATCTTCCGAATGTCTGCAATACGAACATGTCTCTCCGAGGCTCCGACGTCGTAGTCCACGTCGTACGTGCCATCCGACCTCGTCCGTACGATTGCTCCTCGATGAAACTTTCCCTTCTGTTTGAAATTTGCTTCCACAGCGTCTCCAGCCTTGAATATGACGCTCTTGTTGGTCTCACCATCCGAATCCGAGTCTCCGAAGATATCTTCCTTGTCCGAGCTCGCCTTCGCCTCCACCTTCTTCGGTTTAGCGCCAGGAATCGACTCTATAGCTGAGCTTTTCACTCGTTGTTCCACGTCACCATCATCAAACTCAATGTCGTACGTGCCATCCACTCGGACCTTACGGATTTTACCGGGGAAGCTTTTGGAACCGCCTTTATATTTCGCACTCACCTTATCCCCAACAGTAAAACTTTCCGGCTTCTTGTCGTCTGCTTCATCATGTGACAAAGTGGTGTCCTTAGCTTCGATGTACGAGCTTTCAACGTACATTTCACTGTCCCCATCGTCGTATTTTACATCATACGTGCCGTCCGATCTCACACGGGATATTTTACCGGAAAATAGCTTCGCTCCCTTCTTATATCGCGCTTTAACCACGTCGCCAACCTCAAAGCGTTTCGCTTTACTTGCAGCTTTTATTGCAGTCTCCGTCTCCGCACTAACGATAAGAGAAGCATCCACGTGAGTTTCCGAGTCTCCGTCGTCGTACGCAACGTCGTAGGTTCCATCCGAGCGGAGACGCGATATCTTACCGGTAAAATATTTCGTTCCTTTCTTGTACTTCGCCTTGATAACATCTCCGACTGCGAATCCGCTTTTCTTTTTGGCTAAATTATCCTCAATCGCTTTCGGTTTGATGCGAGAACGAGGCACGCGTCGCTCCGAGTCTCCGTCGTTAAATGTGACGTCGTACGTGTTATCGGAATGTACGCGAGATATCTTACCAGGGAACATCTTGGCCCCGTTCTTGTAGCTCGCTTCTATACAATCCCCCACTTTTAACGTAATTTTGGACGGTTCTTGCTCTCTTTCGTCCAGTTCGATGTCCTTGGCCGCAACTCTCTTCTCCTTGTCGCCATCTTCGTATCGGACATCGCACGAGCCGTCACGGTGAACTGCCGTGACCTCCCCATGGATCATCTGACTCCCCTTGTTATATCGAGCACGCACTTTATCTCCCACTTTTGGATTCTTCTTTGAACCAGATTTTTCATCATCGTCGTCACTTTTTATACTTTCTGGAACTTGGATTTTGTCGATATCAACGCGCATCTCGACATCTCCGTCGCTGTATGCGATGTCGTATGTCCCGTCGCTGCGTACTCGCGTGATTGTACCAGCAAATAGTTTCGTGCCTTTCTTGTATCTGGCCTTGACGTTATCGCCGACTTTCAAGGTAGTTTTTTTCGGTTTTTCATCGTGGATTTCGGATTCTTCAGACTGGATTAAATCCACTGGAACGTGAGTGTCTTTGTCGCCGTCGTCGAAGGCGACGTCGTACGTTCCATCGCTTCGCACACGAGAGATTTTACCTCGAAAGAGCTTGTTTCCTCGCTGGAAAGGAGCTTTCACAACGTCTCCTACTTTGAATGTCTTTTTCTTCGGTTTATCTTCGCTCTCATCGCGTTGGATAAAATCCATGTCAACGCGCTCTTCGACATCGCCGTCTTCGTACTTGATATCAAACGTGCCATCCATCCGCTCACGGGTGATTGTTCCTTTAATGTAACGTGTGCCACGCTTATACTTCGCCTTCACAGTGTCACCTACACGCAGTGACTTTGTCGAGCTCATGGATTTTGGATTTTCTAAAGATTTTGTGGATATTTGCTTCTCGTCTTCGACCGCTTCGATCAAACTCGAATCCACGCGAAGTTCCGAGTCCCCGTCGTCATATTTGATATCGTACGTCCCGTTCATGTGACCTTTGGCGATCTTTCCAGGGAACAACTTCTTCCCTTTACCATAAAAAGCTTTCACTCGATCCCCAACGATAAATTTCTTCTTTGTAATCGTCGGCTTCTTCTTGTCTTCGTCGGAATCCGCAAACAGATTTTCTTCGTCTTCCTTAACTTGGATCTGCGTAGCGTCCACATGAGTCTCGATCTCGCCGTCGTCATAGTCAATATCATAGGTTCCATCTGAGCGTACACGACGGATTTTACCCGGGAATAAACGCCTCCCCTTCTTATAATACGCCTGCACTTTCGTCCCCACTGCGAGGTTTTTCGACGACGTTTTTCCGGATTTCTCATCCTCATCACTCTCGTTTTCCACGTTACTCGTGGCTTCGATATGTTCCGTCTTCACCCTCTTCTCTTCGTCTCCATCGTCGTACAGAATATCGTACGTTTCGTCACTATGAACACGTTTAATCTTCCCTAAGAACAGCCTTTTCCCACCTTTATAGCGAGCTTTTACACTTTGACCCACTCGGAATTTGTCACGTTTCGGCGTTTTATCCAGTTTCGACGTCGATTCGACATCTGCCGGCGCCATCTTCTTCTCGATCTCGCCGTCGAAATACTCGACGTCGTACGTGCCGTCTCGATTTACGTTAGCGATTCTACCAGGGAACCATCGACTGCCTCCATTGCATCTCGCTTTAACGAGATCCCCGACTTCCAGCGTCTTCGCCTTCTCAAATGTTTTAACCGACATAGAAGCGAGTTTCGTGGGTTTTACGGGGGATCCACTTTCGCCAAGTCGAATGATAGGCGACTTCTTCTCCTTCGTGTCGCTCATATCTTTGGCCTCTTCCACGTCTTCTAGCGGCACATTCTTCTTCAATGTTCCATTGTTGAGCTTGACCACGCACGTGTTGGAGGACGCTCGGATCTGGATCAACACACCCATATCCTTCGAGCCCACAAGGCCCACCAACATGCCCGTCTTGAGCGTCATGATGAACCGACGGAGCGATCTTCACGAGTGTTTCGAGTCGAGACAAGTCGCGGTTAACTTAACATTCCCAGAGATCCGTTACGACCTCGACCACTATTCCTGGCCGACTTTTCTCGACTATCGATTCCAGTATTGACGTACCCATGCTGCCGCCGGGAAGTATCAAACCGATGGACCCTCTCAGCGCGTCACTGAGCCACGTTCCTCGACAGAAAACCGCAGTCGAGCCCATGCATCGTACCGGCACATCGCCGGACAAGTTCCAGACAGTTCGAGACAATTTGTTGAATTCCTCGTCCTTTTCTGGCTTTACAACTCGTCGACTGCAGTCTCAAGTCGTGCCCGAGAGCCCGGCGGATAAACGCGCAAGAGAAAGCTCCGTGTCCAGAGCCACAGCTGTGAACGAGCTCATTCTGTTCCTTAAAATCATGGACGAAGTGGCCATCCACCACATCACACTGTACTTTATCAATATCAACACTCTGGCTGTGATTCTCAAGATGGAACAGTCGTTCGCAAAGTACTACGCTAGCTCGCAGCGTAAACTGTACTTACGCGGCCTGCTGACGCTGATTGGCTTCATGATCTCGACGTTCGTGTACGACTACGTTGTACTCTGGGAAGACTACAGTGTCGGTACGAATGCCACTGCAGACGGCGTGGTGCGCACTAAACTGCCGAAATTCACGATAGTGGTGGTGTTAAAACTCGCGGTTGTGCTGCCGTTACTGTTTTTAACGTTTTTTCGAGCGAGGAAACACCCTTATCACGAAGATTTTAAGCTCACGTGGATCTGCATCTTCGTGGTGGCTTGCTACCCGGTCGTGTACAATAAAATCACAAACGACTATGGCGTGTCGTGGGTCTGTCTCGTCATCATGTACGTCTACAGCTGCACGCCCATCCGGTTCTTTCCCGTGTCGATTTTCTGTCTTGGATACTTAGCAACGTACGTCGTGGTTATGCTCGCGTACGTCCCTGGCAGTGACAGTTCGTCTGCGTCCTCTAGCCGACAAGAAATCGCCAATGAGACGCTCTACGCGTGTCTGTTTTTCTTCTTGATCTTACTTCCAAGCCAGTCTCGAGAGTTCGCTATTCGTGTGAGCTACATGAGTGAACTTATGGTTTTATTACAACAAGAACAGCTGAAAATGGAGGAAACCAGATCCAAAGCGTTACTTAACAGTATGTTGCCCGAATCGATAGTCGTGCAGCTGCAATGTGGACGAGAGCTTATCGCGGATGAATACGCAGAAGCGACGGTTTTATTCGCTGAAGTGTGCGACTTTGACCTCTTCTCGTCCAAATTGCAACCTCAACAAGTCGTCGAGTTACTTAACATTTTATTTTACAAATTCGACAAACTTGTAGATGTCCATCACGTGCATAAAGTGGAGACGATTGGGGCCGTCTACATGGTCGTCGGAGGCTGTCCCGATGTGATCCATAACCACGCTGAGCTCGTCGCAAATTTGGCGTTAGATATGATCCGATGCATTCCTGAAGTTAGTGCGAAAATTGCACGTAAAAATTGGGGCCATATGGTCACGAATCTTAATATTCGAGTGGGGATAAACACTGGGGGGCTGATGGCTGGTGTGGTGGGGATCCGGAACCCTCGCTTCAAGTTGTTTGGAGACACGGTGAACGTTGCTTCACGTATGGAGACGACGAATTTACCAGGCCAGATTCAGATCACGGAGGCGACTCATAACGCCATTTACCACAAGTTTCACACTGCGTTAAGAGGTAAAGTGTTCGTCAAAGGAAGAGGAGAGATGGACACGTATTTCTTACGTGGCAAGGGCGGATACATCGTACCACCAGCGTCAGTAGTTACGAGGGAACAAGGTACATCCGACGTGGTTGTGGACCCTTCTCCGAGTACTCCTACTACAGGAAGAAGACGCACGACTCGACTACCCGTGTCCAACATTAACGCTATCCCGGAACACACCAAAACTGATACATCCGATACCACGAAATCTAATCCTAGTGAGGAAACTCTAGCCCCTCTACCAACGACCTCAAAGACACCGAACGCGCGCCAACCGAGACGCACGAGTCGATTGGGAGCTCTCGACGCTGCGAATAAACAAAAAACCATGGCCGACTTACTGTCTCTAGCCCCAGCAGCTGGACGGAAACCCTCCATCATGCAGCTACCGGAAGGCACGAAGCTTCCGCCAATTCCAGACACTTCAATGGCATCTTCGCCCCCCCAATCGCTACTCGCGTTAGCTGACCAGCCTCCGTCACCCTCAGCACCTTCACGTCTAGCTCAACGACGAGGAACCGTGAGTGCGCTTAGAAACCACAGTTTGAGTCAAATTGCCACTGTACGTAGATCACTCTTCCGAGAAAATATCTTCGATATCGTCGAAGATATCGACGCGAACGGAGACCCTGGAAACGACGAAAACTCCGCTTTCAGTGCCACAATCATGACGCTACCCAAGGGATTAACGCGTACCGAGGTGTTGTTCCGAGTTCACGGCAATCGCCCAGGCTTCCGTAGCTTAACGAAAGAAGCTTTCGAGTTCGAGGAAAGTTACCGGGTGGAAAATCGAGCTCGCTGGCTGCGCTTCCTCCGCTTATCCGTGACGGTCTTCCTGGTCCTAAAACCGTTTTTGACGCTCTACCAGACCATCCGCCTGTCCACGGTGCGCTCTTTCGACGAGAGTCAGCTCATTTTTCTACTCAACTTCTGCATCATGTACCCCGTCATGCTGGCTTTTCTACTGCACAGTTTTTCGCCAGCTTTCAGCAATTACGAACAAGTCGCGTCGGTGGTGGTCGTCTGGGTCGTGGCAATGATATTGTGCACAGAAAGTCTGCTGACCAACTCTCTGGGCCACGCCTACATGAGTGCACTGGCGCTGTATCAATGCTACTTTGCGAACGTATCCTTCCTGCTTCGCGTGATTAATGGCTTTGAAATTTTAGCGTTATATTTACTCGCTAATCTCCTGATCGCGCCGTACTTTGGATGGGAAATCAACGTCACGCAGCTCCGTGTGTTGCGCAATGCGCTCTACATTTTCATGTTCTTTGCGGGCCAAGCGTGGGTCGTGTTTAATTCCGAGTTTAAACAACGTATCAACCATTATCGCGACATTACGCTCAACTCGCAGAAGCAGAAACTCGTGGAAGAAGAGGCTCGAATCACCAAATTGTTGCTGAATTTACTACCGGAGACTATCGTGCACAAGCTCAAGGAGGACCCACAAACCACCATCGCAGATTTTTTTGATAACGTGACTGTGTTATTCACCGATATGGTGAATTTCACCGCCTATTCGTCCAAAGTTTCGGCTATGGAGCTCGTACAGTTCCTCAACGATATGTATACACGCTTCGATACGATCGCAGAGCGAGAGGTGCTGTATAAAGTGGAGATTATCGGAGACGCCTATTTTGTGGTGGGTGGGTGTCCCATAGTGAAAACCAATAATGCATTAGCGGTGGTGACTGCTGCCACCGACATGTTCGCAGCGCTGCCGCTGTTGAGATGTAACTGTGGTGTACCAGACCTGAATATCCGGATTGGGGTACACTCGGGTCCAGTGTTGGCAGGCGTCGTGGGCAGTAAAGACCCTCGGTATCATCTTTTCGGTGATACGGTGAGCATTGCGCACTTCTTGGAGAGTAGCGGTGTACCTGGCCGCATTCATATCAGCGAGAGCACGTGGGCTAGTATGAACAAGGAGACCCCCGGACATGGCTTCAAAGTCGAGTATCATACGCTGCTGTCTATCAACGGCAGCTCCAAGAAACTACGCACGTACTTCGTACTCTGAGTCAGCGCCATATTTAAGAACAGCAACTCACCAACAAGTTAACTCGTACAGGCCTGTGACGAAGGAATATCTTGCGGTTATAGTGTCTCCCGTCGCAGATTGACTAAACAAAGCAACCCCCGCCTCATTATCGACCTGAACATGATACATGTAGTATAAATAGTACCATTGTCACTTGGCTGCCTTGGGTTTTATACATGTACGAGCAATCAACAAATGCGACAGTGAGCTCTGCAACAAAACTCGTGAGACCAGACTGACGTGGCACACCCCTTACAAATTTCTAGTGCTGCGCCAGCATTGGCGTGTCACTACTCGGAAACCTAGTCCTAGCTAACTAGTATCCGTACTTGGTGCACTATACGCTCGTCCGATTGACTTGCGTTCCCTCTCCTTGTTTTAATAATGGCACGTGCTCCTGCGCCCAGATGAGAATCCTGAGACGAGACTCCTGCGCCCAATCACGCCCACCAGAAGCCCAAGCGTGCCCATCAGGAACACAAACAGCTCCCAAACGTAGCCCAGATCATTAAAGCCAGTTAGGACGCTATACACCCTCATCGTATACCCGGATAGAGCGGTGCCGTACTTAGACGGGTCTGTGGTGAGACTTAGCGTTGGGAGACACAGAGCTCGCCCATACATGTACTAGAGTCGCAAGGATCACTTGTCGAGATTTAATTATCGCCGGATGTGTCCTTCACTGTTTTCTTAATATAACACCACTGTGACGGGGTGACTCAGCACGTTGCGCTAGAGGAACGTTATCCTCCGAGAGTATGAGAATCCTGAGACGAGACTCCTGTTCCCTATCACGCCCACTTTAAGCCCAAGCGAGCCCAGTAAGGAAAACAAACTAGCTCCCAAACGGAGTACAGATCTATGTAAAGCCAGTTAGGGGGCTATACACCCTCATCGTATACCCGGATAGATGCGGTGTCGTACTTAGACGGGTCTGTGGTGAATGACTTAGCGTTGGGAGTACCACAGAGCTCGCCCTATGACATGTACTAGAGTCGCAAGGATCACTTGTCGAGATTTAATTATCGCCGGATGTGTCCTTCACTGTTTTCTTAATAGTAACAACCACAATTATCATAACGACCAGAACAAAATGTATTACGCTTAAACTAAGTCTATTTTCCTTGCTCAAGCTTGCATGCACATGTGCAAGTATCTGTATCTCAAACACTGTAAAAAAATTTTTGTCTAGGTGACCAAGTGGCTCACCTCCACAGAACACTTCAAACGCCAGTAGGACGTAAACACCGCAGTTGTAGCTGTCCACTTGAACGCCAAGTCCGGACTCGTACGTGTGTACTCGTGGCCGCGGTCTTGCTAACTGTGGTAGTAGCATGATCAGTGTCTGGGCCACGGCACGAAAACTAATCAAATGGGAAGATGAACTACAGTCTTAGATAGCTACACTCCCTTTCTCGAGGTTCATCATCACAGAGCACCAATGGTTCCCGTTGCAATTCACAGGGAACAAAAAAATCTCCTTCGAAAAGCCTGCCAGATTTCTGCGTATAGTTTCGGGGTCCGCCAAGATTTTTCCGTCCACTACGACCCCCAGGGTTTTCGAGTCGAATATAGTCACGTTGGGATTGAGGCCGAACCTCTTGGAAAACACCAAGTGCATTATTTCGTAGGATAAACACTCTTTCGCAGTAAGGTCCAGCACTTGTGCCTATTAAGCCAACATAACAATGCATTAGTATAATTATTTTTCAAAAGTATAGTAAGACGATTGATACGTACCTGCGCTGAAAAGAGAGGAATAGCCTTGAGTTTTTCCGGTAGTTCAGGATCATCTTCTATCGAATATGTTGAAGCGTTTAAACGCGAGAAGTCTAGCTGCTTCAACCAATTCAACGTGCTGTCGATCTTCTTCAACGTTTCGTGGGCACGGTGCCATTTTTTCATAAGGGCGATTGTCGAGTTTGCAAAGACACCTAGCCCAACAATCTTAAGCGCAATATCGAGTTCTCGTACTCCAGCGTGTTTCTTCTGGTAGGCACTCACCTTGGCCATACACTTCTTAATCAAATCCATTGAGAACACTCTGCTTATGTCCTCAGGTCTCATCAGCGGTTTGCTTGCAGGCAACTTTGCAATTTCGTAAGCGATGATTGGTTTGGGCTTTGTTAGGAATTTGAAGAGGCTGAAGTGGGTCAACTTTTTATGCGAAGAATTTAGGTTGCAGCTCCATCGAGAATTTCATACAGCGCTTGGAGACGGAGTTTGCTCTTGTGCATATCCAAATCTTCTTGAACCATCGTGATTGCCAGGTTTCGTTTAGCCTTGACAGCTTTGGGCTTTTGTTTCGGCCGCCCTCTTGGTTTAGGTGGACTTTGGATCTCAAAGGAATCGTTAGAATCTTCTAGATTGACAGATCGTCCTTGAGCTGTGTTGGCCTCAAGAGGCGTACCAACCTGGGTGGACTCGTGAACCTGGTCGGTTTGAGTTGTCAACCGATCGCAACTCATTCCGATCCGGTCTGTTCCAGAGCCCAACTGATCCGTTCCAGAGCCCAACTGATCCGTTCCAGAGCCCAACTGGGGCGTTGCTGATGTGATGGTTGTGGATCGAGCGAGCAGTAGTAATTCTCAAAACAAAGATAGGAACGGATTCATCCTTTACTTGGACACACGCGTTGATCGATAATAGAAATGAATACAATTAAATATCTTGTAAGCCAAAACTGAACATACTGGCACATATTTTGCCCAACTGGCGAGATGCGTGCCCAGCTCAAATCCATAACGCCCAACTCGGCCCAGATATCGTACCTGAGCACCACACTCCATTGCTCTGGATTGCAGCCTCTTCCTTTTCCCTTTCCCTCGCGGCTTGTATACCCCCGAATGCGTGCAGATAAACGTTTTGCCGTAGTTCTCCCACTCGACCGGCAACAAGGGTTGCTTGGAGCCCGACGAGCGGATCTTGTTGTTTCTGGAAGCAACCGTGTTGTTCGCTCGGACGCGAAAGTTCTGTACAGATAATAGTGTGAGTTCTGAAGTCAGTATACGAGCACAGTCGATTCCATCTCCATCGTTATCATACCTGGTACGTTGCCTTCATGTATTCGACCAAATACGCGTCCAAATCGTCCCACGATTCGAATTCAAAACGCTCCAGGCGCGGGGCTACCACTTCAAGCTGCATGTCATCATGTTCGGCGTCCTGAACGCTCCTGGGACGATCCAATTGCTCTGACCGCCCCTGCTTGGACTTCGACGTCCCGATGTTTGTGGTGCTCGATACCTCTTCAGAAGAATCCACCCATTCCCCATCACTGGAGACGGCCGATGCACTGTACTCCGAGACACTACTCCCCATACTGCTGCTGTGCTGCCGGAGGGGCGTTCTCACTAGCGCCTTGACGCGCAGGTCGCGGGGCATTTTTACGCTCTGCTCGAAATGAGTGGTGTTTGAGGGGTATACAGTACAGTATACACTACACCTCCGGACGGATATCGCGAGAGCCAGTCGAAAAATTTGATCCGGTATAACCCAAACCCAGTTGGGCGCAGTACTCACTCTCTTTAATAAAAGGGCGAAATTTCGACTATGCATTTATAATTTATTAGAACCGGTATTGCTTTTAGTTGAAGAGCTTTATATTCGCTCGTTTAAGGTTGGCTGCTTTGTTGCTCAAAAGAATACATGTGTATAGTTTTACGGCTCGTGAAAGTTAAAACTTTAGAGAAGTGGGCCTCCAGCTGTGGAAGCGCAAAAAACAGCAAACCCGCAACAGTACGCAAACTGACAACTATTAAAAATTACGAATTGGTATTACAAAAAGACAGTGAGTATTTCACCCGACTAGATTACCCTTCCCCTGCACAATCCCCGGCTCCTTTCCGATGAGCTACATCCGTACGGCGTATATTGCGTATACCCGTTGGAATCAGTGCGCTGCCAGCCCCAAAACTTCGAAAGGGGGAGCGGGAACCGTACGGGGCTGAATGGATCTCCGCGTGCGTGCAGCCCATAAGCGGCCGCTGACGGGGGCCGCTGCGTTAAAAGAGAGCGACAGTGGTGAGTCTGAGAGATCCCAGGACTCCCAGGACGACATCTGGTTGCCAACGCCCGCCGCAAGTAGTGCTGATTCGGCGAAAGACGGCTCGTCGGGGGCTCGGAGTGTTTCAGACGTTCCGGAGTCTACTAGCAGCACAAGCGAAAGTGGTGGACCCAGTCGTGTGTTGGCCGCATCGCCAAACAAGGTTGAGTTTTCGTCGTGGGAAGCCTTTGACCAGTACTTGGCGGCCTATTCAGCCCAAACATTTCAGGTAACGATGAGAACGTTGAGATCATTGTATTTTTCTCGTTAGGTGCTTACCAATTCTGTTTGTGTATCAACGATAGGTCTTCTGGAGTCGCAGTAACACCACAGTGTCTGAGCGCAACGAGCGAATTCGAAAACAGCATTCAAAGGCACCACTAATCCCCAAGTCTTGGGTGCAGTATTCCAGAACATTCATCTGCACTCACGCTGGATCCTATAAGTCTCAAGCCTCGAAGAGACTACGTCAAGAGACTCGAGCGAAGGGTTGCCAGGCAAAGGCAAGTATTCTTTGGTCGGGTCTAGTCGGGTGTAATCTGATGCTAATCGGGTAATCATGTTACGTAGATAAATGCTTGTGTGCAGTTAGTTGACTCGGCCAACCAGACATTTGCAGTATGAATCACACGCTGTCGGCTGGAGCATAGCCATCGGCAAAAATGAAAACTCTTTCAGAGCCCACTCTTCCAAGCGGGTAGCGCTGACTGATGGCGCCATACAAACTGTTGACGTGCTCCGTCGGTATGGGGCCAAGAAGACAGGTATTTTGAGGTTCATCACAGACAAGTATAATAGCAATCCGAACTCGCAAGACGTACACAACTTGGTTCGCAAACTGAAAGCGCGAGAGATAAAAGACGGTTCATCCTCAAGCGAGAAGCGCCTGAAAAAAATGGATGAAGGAGTTCGGCGACAAAACCGGTAATGCTGGTCGAATATTTCTTGACGATATCAACAAGAAGGTAAATGACCTGTTTGCTACAATTTTGGGCAAATTATTTAGATAACCTGTTTTTATTCTCCAGAAAGTAACTACGTATATCACGCTCCAGACCAGACATATGCGATTACTGTACGAACAGTTCCCTGAAGCTCTACTGATTGATGCCACGCACAGAACTAATCGATCCAAGTACAAAGTATTTTCTTTTATGGCTCATGATACCTTTGGCAAGGGACAGTTTATCCAACACGCGCTTCTTCAGAATGAGCAGTACGCTACGTTGCTCACGGCCCTGAAAGAATTCAAGTCAAACAATCCGGCGTGGTCGAGGCTGCAATGTGTACTGGTGGACAAAGATTTTACGGAGCTCTCTGTCTTGAAAGAAGCTTTTACTAGTGTGACTGTGCTGCTATGTCAGTTCCATGTGTTGAAGTATCTACGCGAAGAAATTGCATCTGCGGATTATGGATTCTAGAAGACCCAGAAGGAGCAGCTTGGAGGGGCGGTGAGCTTGCTTGTGTATGCGAAGACGAAGGCGGAATACGAGAAGCACTTCAAGTATATGATCCATCTTGCTTCGATTGGGTTCTCTGCTACAACGCCTACTGACGTGGCGTCAAGCGACGCTCAGCCAGCGGTGGAACTTAGTGGAGCTGCCGTAGTCGGGAGTGAGTCGGGTGGAGTCGAGAGTGAGTCGGGTGCAGTCGGGTCTCCCGTCGGGAGTGCGTCGGCATCGGACGTTGAGCACCCATTTGTTGCGTACTTTCGGAGGAATTGGGATAATTGTCGTGGACAGTGGTGTGCGTATAAACGTCAGAATACTGTCACACTTGGTAACAATACGAACAATCGGCTGGAAGCTTCGTGGAAACAACTCAAGGAATGGGTGGACTCCTTCATGGCAGTGGACGAATGCATTGCGTCCATAATGTACTACCAAACTCTGCAAGAAAAATTGTCTCTCTCGGAGATCTACAAAACTGTGGTCGTGCACCATCCTGAGTATGACAGTGAGATGTCCTTGGTTGCAAACATTGTGAGCGAACACGCGTGTGAGCTCATCCACATGCATTATTCGTATGCCCTTGGATCGACTGCGTATATCTTTTACGAATGTTGCCCTGGGGTGTATTTCATCAAGAGTGTGTGTGAAGATGATGACGCACTGGATGAGCTTAATGCTGAATATTGTGTCACCAAGCGCGACTGGTCTTGCTCATGTTTGTTTATGAGCACGCGTTTGTTATTATGCCGACGCGTTTTCTTCCTTCGCAAAGCTCTTGGTCAAGAAACAATTATCCCGACGCTACTATTAAACAAGCGGTGGTTGGTTTCAAACGTTCGTTCAGCACTGGAAAATAGCACTTCAAGTAGTGCTGAAAATGAGCCCAGCTCATTTGAGGTGAAGACTGTTCTTCCTGGGCGCGAGCGCCCTTGGGATTCGATTCGAAAGTTCCGAGAAGCATTGCCCATTGCCTCGGAGATCTGTGACGCGATGGCTGGTCTAGGTATGACCCAGTATCGACAGGCAATGCAATATCTCCAAGAAGTGGTTGGTCGGTTCAAGGATGGTAAATTTGAAGATCCTATTCAAGAAACAAACCAGCTGGAGCTTTCGCAAACGAGTGGGCAGCTTTTCGATATTTGGTGCCTCTTACACAAGTATGTAGTACTACCCACGCACCAGAGACTGCTGTTGGGAGGAAACCACGTCAGCCACTTCTCACTGGCCATGCCCACAGCACGAGTGGCGATGAGTTGCTTACCGATCTAGTATCAGAACCTGAAGAAGTCGGCCTATTCAACGAGCCAAGTGGCGTTTCACCGCAGTCGGGCCAATCGGGTGCAGTCAAGTCTGAGTCTGAGCCTCCACATGAATCGGGCCAATCAGTCCCAGTCGGGTCTGAGTCGAGGACTTCGCGAACTCTTCCAACAGCAACCGAAGATACGACGTTCGTTATTGCGAGCCCACCACGATCGAGAGGACGCCTAAAGCAATCTGCTAAAGCGAAGAAGGCGGCACGTAAGAAGGCGGTTGCTGTTGCTCAAGAAGACTCTGAGCTTCATTCGTTGAACCTGAGCCTAGCATCCGTAGAAACCGCACTGTCGGGCGAAGCTACCTGTGCATCTGCGGCTGCAGTTCTCTACAAGTTTAAGGTGCTTGAGTACGGCACTAAGTTCAAGGCCCCGACCATACGAACGATACCATCGCTACCACCAACCAAGCCTATTATCCCTCCAGCCTCCATCACGCGCATACCGCGTCCTGAACAAATCAGCATCTGCAACCAAAACGTCACAGCATTCCAGTCAAAGCACAAAGGTACTGCCGAAAAAGATCTGGTCGTCGATATACCTGGCTTCGGCGTGTACTTGACAAGCACGATGCGGACTATGAAGTCTTTGCACACTGCGATGAAGACCATCAACCAAGTGGGAAAAAAATGACGAAGTGGGTGAACACCGTCGACTTTTCATTGCCTATGTCATCCTCATTTCGGGTGCAAGAGCAGCCAGACGTGACGACGAAAGCAAAAGCGATTCCTGTGTCTTCCAGAAAGGTGTAAAAACCCATCTCTTGCCTGCTTCATCAAATTAATCTGATTAACTATTGTATAATATGCAGGCAGCAATTCTGGACCTTGTAGGTAAAACATGCCTTAGTGAAGACACCATGAACATCGTTATGGCTAAACTGTTTGGATCACGAAGTGATGTAATCATCGTGGATCCAAGTATAATCGGCTCTGTTGAAGGCGAAGCAATGCCAGGGATTGCCGCCGTTTTTGCTGATGTTTTCGCCAGTGTCACGAATGAGAAAATCTTCATCCCCGTATGCTGCAGTAAAAACCATTGGTGCGACATATCGTTGGACCTGGAAATGGCGGAGGCGGCTGTCTACGATCCAATGGGCTCGACCTATGCAATTAAAGTCCGAGCACTCACGGAGGCCCTTCTAGTGCAGCTACCAGACTACGCCCCACAAAAGTTTCAAGTCCGCCCGTACCATACAGACCTTGGGGTTCAAGTCGACAGCTATAATTGTGGACTACGTCCTTGTGGCGTTTGAAGAGATTGCCGGTGCAAAATGTCTCTGCATGCTATCCAGAAAGGAACTTCAGTATCTACGTTACAGATACATTTGCATGTGCGCTTAGTTAACACTTTAAACAAGTCAATCTTTGTGTTTGCCCTTACAGTTTGTACGTACCGCCACACATTATCAGCGTAGAACACTCTGCAGAATCCCGCAAAGACTCTTCACACGCTCAGTGCTAAGTCTTTCGCATCCGAATAAACGTATAGCAGCCATGCGCTTCACACGATTGCTCAGCTGGCTCTTATATTGAGTCGGGCACTGTCGGTCATCGATCGGATGTAGTTGGGGACCGTGAGCCTGGCTCTTTCACATGAATCGGGCGAAATAACGAGTGCCTTACAAAAAACGACCAGGTGAAAGTGATTGCTCACTAAAATAGCAGCACTGTGACCGTGTACCGGTAATACAATGAAAACGGTCTTGTTTTTTAGCTAAATACAATCAGAAACTTTGCTAGTAATTAAAGTACGTAACGTTAGTGCAAAATCAATCCATGCTATCTCAGCCTACGAAGCTCCATTCCTTTTTATAATTAACAAGATTAAGAATTTTCAGCAACATGTGAGCTCTTAACTCAATGAGAAATTTATTTTTAGAAATCTAAACCTTTTTCATACACGAGCTGCCACGAATCTGAGCTGGTAAATACTCTTCAGGTATCCGTAGCGGAAACGAAAGAAAGCTTGAGATTTTCCTCCTTGCAAGTAAATCGGATGTATCTTCGTTTGTTTGTGTGGCTGTTCGTTCGTTTGTATGGCGTTTGTCGACAAAACAATGCCAGTGCATCGTCCACCCCTGAATTATCCGGATAGAAAAAATCTGCTTCAACTGTATACCATCCTCATCCGGACCCAGAATCGAAACGGCATCCTCACGCTCAAGTCTTACTATGAGCTTGGACGCGTCCTCCCCCGTAGCTAACGACGCTGACGGCAGTAGCAGCCCCTTGTCCCTCAACTCCCCCATCAACGTACGCGTGGAGGCCGCCAACGCCCCCAAGACGCCGCTGTTGAACGTGCACGAGGAAGCGGAGCATCTGTATCCGGCCGTCATCGAGTGGTCTCGCCCCTGTGAATCCGTCGGCGTCACCGGCAGCTTCAACAAGTACGCACCCACACTACCATAACATTGTACCCAACAATTTCGTTTCTAACTTGATATTTTATACAGTTGGGGCTCTCAGATCCTTCTCAAAAAGCAGAAAACCACGGAGAATGAGCCCCCTCTCTTCAGTGTCAAACTGTGGCTACCTGTAGGTACTCACCTGTTCAAATTCTGCGTAGACGGGGCTTGGCAATACGATCCGGAGGTGACGTTCGCCCCGGACGAGTACGGAAACCTCAACAACTTTATCAAGATCGCCCCCAACGCGGATCCTCAGACCAAGGAGAAGCCTCTGCAACGTACTATCCGTACCATCATCCGCGACGCTAATGAAGGGCTGCCCGTCATGAACCCTATAGCCAGTGAGGAGCTCATGAAGCTTCGTCTACAGAACTCCCCGGTGCAGAAAGCGCGCTCTCCCAGCTCCAAGATACGCCACCAAAAGCGACCGGACCCGACCACCCGGTCGACGCCCCTTACAGCGCCTCGTCAACCGCAAGAGATGGAGGACTCTGAGTACGGAATCGAGGTGAGTGAGCGGCGTATGAGCAGCCACAACGTCACACTGCCGCGACCTCGAGCGGGGACGTTGACGCGGTCTAAGAGCGAAGAAAACCTCAGTCACGCCGCGTCCGGCTCGACCTTAGTCGCTGCAGACGTGGCGACCGCAGCTACGCCCAAGTACACGAACTACATCGATGACATCGCCACGTCCGTGCTGTTAGCAGCCACGACGCAGCATTTTGGCGGCGATTTAGTGACGCACGAGCACAACACTCGCGCGCAGTTAGGTGGCCATCGCTCCGTGCTGGTTCGAGGCCCCCACACGGCCAAGCAGACGGCTCCGCAGCAACGGAGTGGCGGCAAACTCATGATCTTCCTGGTGGGGCTTCCTGGCCGCGGGAAGACGTACATTGGCCACATTCTAGCGCGTCACTTGACGTGGATGGGACACCAGTCGCGCACGTTTAACACGGGCGAATACCGCCGCCGACTGGTGGGTTCCAACGTGAACCACGCGTTCTGGGACCCGTTCAACGAGGAATCCTTCCAGATCCGCACGGAGCTGTCAAAACAGTGTCTGGAGGACTCGATCGCGGCGCTGGAGAGCAATGACTGCGACTGCGTCATCTTTGACGCCACCAACGTCACGCGTAAGCGTCGCCAGATGCTGCTGAACGAGGTGCATGAGCGCTACAAGTGCGAGATGATGTTCATCGAGTCGGTGTGCGACGATCCGGACCTCATCGCGTCTTCGATCAACGAGATGAAGCTCAACTCGGCCGACTATGCTGGTCAGACGATGGAGGAGGCAGCTGCAGACTACAACAACCGCATCAACCACTACCAGTCGCTGTACGAACCGCTCGCTGCTGACCTGGAGGGCGCGCCGTTCATCAAGATCATCGATGTGGGACGCCAGATCTTCTGTAACCAGGTGTACGGCTACTTGCAGTCGCGTATCATGTTCCTGATGGCCAATCTGAACCTCAAGCCACGTCCGATCTGGCTCAGTCGTCACGGCGAGAGCATGTACAACACACAGAAGCGTATTGGAGGTGACGCGCCGCTGAGTCCGCTTGGAGTGCAGTACGCGGAGCAGCTGGACCGGTTTATCGACGCGTACTACCCCACGCCGGACACAGAACTCGCCGTCTGGACGTCGACCATGCTGCGTACAGGAATGACGGTCGAGCGTATTGCCGCCCGTGGGCGCTCAATTGTCAAGTGGAAACAGCTAGACGAGATCGATGCCGGTATCTGCGACGGTATGACGTACGAGCAAGTGGCCGAGGAGATGCCGGAGGAGTATCTGGCGCGTAAGAACAACAAGCTGCACTACCGGTACCCGCGTGGCGAGTCGTACCAGGACGTGATCCACCGTCTCGAACCGGTAATCACTGAGCTCATGCGGATGGACCAGCCCGTGCTCATCGTGGCGCACCAGGCGATCCTGCGTGTGCTGTACGCGTACCTGACCAACAAGTCTCCGTACGAATGCCCCACTCTTAACATCCCATTGCACGTGGTCATTCAGGTGACACCCAAGGCCTACAAGTGCGAGGAAGTGTGGCACCGCCCCATGTAAAAGCGGAGCAGAAAAGCTCAGTCAGATCCGTCGATCTAGTCTCTTAATTCTGTCTCCAGACCTAGATAATACACCTCTAATCGATTCTTGTTGGTGCCGAAAGTTTGCTCGTCCAGTCTGTACTGCAGTTTGGTGTCTGTATCCACGAACGCCAAGAACTTGTCGATGCCGTCCTGGTTACGCCGCTCGACGCCCATGAGGACAATGCACTTCGGGTACGCTAAGCACAGCAGCTCCATTGTCTGCGCCAGTGCGCGCCACGACGTGCCGTACAGCGGCTCGTAGATGCAGTCGCACGACAGCACCACGTCCACCTTCTCGTCGGGATATTGAGCCAAATACTCGTTCGTCTGCTGCACGCCCCAGCTCAATGGTCTCGCTACGATCCCTCCTTTCTCGTCGCCATCTTCCTCGCCGTTTGGAAGATTCAGGACCTCCGCGTTGGCAGCCAGGTTGACGTGCATCAGTCGCAACAGCTCGTCCTGTTCCGTTAGGATCACGTGCTTAGCACCTGCAACTCGCGCTGCCATACCCGGCACGCCGCTGCATTCAAAACGCAATGTATTATTATCGTTATTAGTTGCCGCTTCAATTGAATAACTTTAAAGTTGAACGCACATTCCAGCGCCCAGTTCGATGACACGCAGCGAATTGCTCGGATCTTCGAGTTGCTGGCGATAATCCGTCAGGAAACGACGGGCCAAGTGCACGGCGGCATCCCACAGCAGCGTACCCGCCCAAGCGGCACCGGAGAACAATGGGGCGAGCTCATCGGCTTGCTACAAGACGATAGTTGGGTCAGATGTGGCTTCAGAGACACTGAAAAGTTACAAGTAACACTAGTTCGCCTCAAACGAAGTATCGTTCGTACCATTAGCAGGGTCAAATTCAGATCTTTGCCGTTCACTCGCACGCGTGTGAACTCCTCCACCTTGTCCACATTCTCCTCGGGGAAGACTTGTACAGCCGCCATCTTCGACCACCCAATTCCGTGAATAAAAACCGCCGCGATTTTCTGAGTACCGTAGCGAAACAGTTTAGTCTCTTGTCCTCACGTACAAACCTCAAGTGAAATCACTTTCGCGAGGGATTGAATTTACGTGTTTAGTCAAGGATTTTCCATCCGAAGAACCGAAATTCCTGAATGGCGCACTGGTGGCGACGCGACGAGCTGCAGGCGCTACTGCAGGCGTGGGAGCAGACGCTTGACCCGCCTCGCGACCGTGACGAGCTCACGGAGCTGGAGCTACAGCGTCTGTATGCAAAGTTTGACGCGTTGCGGCCGCGTGACGGCGCGTCAGTGCCCGCCCAAGAGGTGGAAACACAACGTCAGCGTTTGGTGCGAACCTTCCTGTTCCTACGCGCGTTCAACGGCGAGAGTACGCGCGCTGGACGCCCCACCTGGTTCCAACTACGGACGCAGCAACAGGATAGTCTACGTCGTATGAACGGCCGACTGGGGGAGCTGGCAACCGTGGCTCCGGATGAGTACGAACTACTCCGTCGGATCTGCGAGGATGCGCCCCCGCCACCCCCTGTCCAGACGGAAACGCCCCAAATACAGCCTCAAAGACAGGAACGCCCCATGGTGGACGAGATGAAGGCGGCAGCTGAGGCACTCGCGGGTTTGCCCATGTTCCGTCCGAACGAGACGCCACAGCTGTCACCCTTGTTGTCACCCGTTGCCACAGTGCGTAAAGAAACCTCTGAAAGCGAATCTAAACGAGAGGCAACTTCGGACTCCGACGGGTTGTCGGAAAATGAGTCGGAGGACGAGTATACACCGAGGAAAAGCCGGAAGACAGACACGGACACGGACTACACGCCACCCAAAGCTAAGGGCAAGAGTAAGGTCAAGATGACGTCCAAATGGTCGAAACGAGACGAGCAGCGACTCTTGTCGGCGTGGCACGAGGTGGTCACGATACTGGCGGACAATGGGTACGCCGGGTCTTTCGCTTCCCGGAACGAGGGGCTCCGGTTAAACTCTCTGATCCACCAACGGTATGCCGAGCTGTGCGGCGACAACAGTACTCCCCGTACGAACCAGTCCACAGGTGCTAAGAAACATGCCATCGTGATGGCGTTCCGAGCTCTACGGAATGTCCTCCGCACATTGGCGTCGCAGAGTGATCGTCCGAATTGGTTCGGAATGACCCCTGCGGAACGGATGGACTTACAGAAAAGATTCGGACACCATAACGAACAGGCTGTCTTCATTGAGAAGGAAATGTACCAGCGACTCGTCCAGATTGACAAGGCACAGCAGATCGTGCTAACTCCGACTGCGGATGCACCACGCGCGCCTGCAACACTGGACGAACTTCTCGGACGGACAAAAATGGGGATTCGAAAGAAAATGGGAAGGAAACCCACTAAGGACAAATACTCGTCGGGCCCGCCCAAAGGCTTCGTTATTGCAGAGAAATCGTCCGAAGAATCGGAAGAGGAATCGTCGGATGACGCCGCGTCAATCCGGAATGAAAGATCCGAAAATTTAAGCCGAAGTGCAAATTCTCAGCCTCGGTCAAAGAAACTGGCAGCTGATGACATCCAGACGACTTCTTTCCTTAAACGTCGTCGCACCGGATTAAGTGATGCCAAGTGGATGACGCGATTGTTGGATACTCAGACGCAGCGGTTTGAGGCATTGCTCACCGAGTTCCAGGAGGAAAGGCGACAAGAACGTCAACACAACGTGGAGATTATCCTCGAAGCGCTGAAGCTGCGCAGTGCGTCCGCTCAGAAAGCGGATCAGCCGTCACCGTTCGTCGAAGCGTTGGTGGAGAAGCAACGTCAGCATCTACTCGGTCTGTTTAACCAATTGCAGGAAGAACGTTCCCAAGAACGCGAGCAAGCGCGCGTGCTGCTGCGAGAGCTAGGGACTTCTCGTCTCGTCCAAGATCAAGAACACAAAGATTGACTGAGTAAGTGCGTGGATTAATCAGGAAGAATCCTTTTAGTAGTAACTAGTCGCTCCAATTTCGACGTTGCATTGAATCCTTTCACCCTATAGGACAATTGTCAAGCATCAAGTACCCCACTTCCAATCCTTAAAAATCATTCGGAACAAAACCAAATATAGAGTATCTTTTCACTTGATGTTTGTACGCTCGATCATTTTTCGACAAATCGGATCCGTAGCCAGTGAGATTTTCAGAAGCCTCAGTGTTGACGCCCCGTCACTTCCAGACCCCCCCCCGTCGTCACTATCAGCGTCTGTAAGAGCGTAGACATGCCATCCGCTTATGCCAGTGCTCGTGTCAACTCGGCATGGGACAGAGAGGAATTGCTCCATCTGATTGAGGCCTGGGAGGAAGTCGTGGACGACCCGAAGGACCGGCTACTGCTCTCCACGGGGGAACGCGCCACGCTGCACGCGCGGTTCTGCGCCATCTCGGGCTCGAACAAACGCAGTTTATCGTCGGTAACCCGTCAGCATCATCGACTGTGCACGTCGTACCGCCTCATTGTGTCCACCAACAAGAAAAACCTCAAAAAAGGAGCCCTCGGGTGGTTCGATCTGTCGGCCGCCGAGCAGCACGAACTGCGTCGGGTGCACACGAAAAAGGAGAAGGGGATGACTGTACTGAGTGTGGAGCTCTTCCGCCGACTCGACCGCTTCTGTGGCAGCAACGGTGGCTCGAAAGCCCCACAGCAGACGAAGAGGAAGGAGCCGAAACAGTTGAAACGTAGCAAGAAAAACGTCGAACCGGAAGAGGAAGCGGACGCTGTCGACACTCCGAAAAGCGCGTGGACGACACGCGATTGGGCGTTATTTGTCGACGCATGGCAAGAAGCTGTGGACGACTTTATCGACTACGGCAACGAGCCGGACGAGAAGGTTAAGTTGCCCAACTGGCTGATCCGCCAGAAGTTCGTGGCTCTTGGAGGCCCGCAGGATACGACGGTGGGGTCCATTACGGCCAAGAAACGCTGTATCATTCATTCGTACAACTTCATCCGCCAATGTGTCACTCAGCTGGAAGAGCTGGACGGCTCGGATTGGTTCGACCACACGTTCAACGAGCGATTCCGCTTGCAACGGAAGCTCGTGAGCCCCAAGTCCAGTCAACGTGTGGGCTGTGAGATCGACCGTGAGACGTACAATAAGATACGAGCTGTACTCGCGAAGGAGGAGGTACTGGGGAGAGTGACGGTCTCGGGGCACAAACGGAAGCGTGGCCAGAAGAAACCTCGCAACGCGTCGGTATCGTCGGAGGATTCGCTGGATTCAGCGCCGCGGTCGCCCAGTCCCTCGCGTTCCGACGCGTCTGACGCGGAGGATGTAGAATCGAAGAGTTCGGTTGCTGACGTCAACGACGAGGATGCGCACGTTGATGAACAGGTCGTGGAAGCGTTGCTAGAGGCCCAGAATGCCCGCTTCGAGCAACTTATGCACGATCTGCGTGAAGAGAGGATGGAGGAACGCAAACAGAACCAAGCAATGTTGCTGGAGATCCTGCACCAACGCAACCCGCCGGAAGATCCCAATCAGAATGTGGACTTTATGGAATCTTTGGTGGGGAAGCAACAAGAACAACTTATGGATCTATTCGCACAGATGCACAAGGAGCGGCAACAGGAGAGAGAAGACTTCCACGCCTTGCTGCGTCAACTGCACGCGCGGTCGTAGCGAGTAGTAAATGAGTAAGCTTAGCTTCAATACATGTACCCACAACGTTATTGAGAAGTTTTCATGGGACGGGGCTATAGGATCAATGAATGTTCGTGTCACTTTGGCATTTCGAGAGCGAACGCACCATGCCGAACGTTACTTCCTGGACCGAAGTGGAGGTTAACATCTTGATTCAAACGTGGGCCGAGGTGGAGGCCAAGTACCCTCTGCTGCGATGTCCACGTGGGTCCGTCACGCTCCACTCGAAGATGTACGCGCTGTACTCGAAGCGATGTCCCTTTGTTCGATCGTCTACAGCTGTCAACCGGATGAAGAATCACATGCGCATCTTCATTCTGTTTGTGCACAAGTTTGATGAAAGCAGTCGACAGAGAGGAGAGCGACTGTGGTTTGATTACAACCCGAAAGAACGTCGAGCTAACGCACCGATGAGACTACGCGGTCTGGCGACGACAGTGAACCAAAAGAGCTATGCGAGGCTTATGACGATGGAGAGAGCTCAGAGATGGCTGGTGGGTTCATCGGAGGAAAGCCAACAAGGTGACGACGGAATGCTTCGATCAGAGACGCGCTTGATGCCTCCAGTGTCGGCCGGCAGGGCTTCGACCGGCGACGAGTTGTCGCTATCGTCTGAGGTGAGCACCCCGTGCACCGAGCAAGGAGTTGATAAGGGTGAGAGCCACACATTCGTCGAAGCACCACGACACTCTCGTAGCAGCTCTTACAGCCCGTCTTCGTCCTTTGATGAGGAGAGTGAAATGTCCGCTTCTTCTTCACCGAAAATGGCTAACCCCCGTGAAAAATTCAGGAAACTAGAGCTACCAGAGCATCGAGATTGCCACATTCTCTTGGAGAATGTGATGAAGCTGCAAGACGAGAAAATGCGCCAGGCTGTTAGTAAACTACGAGCAGATGTGGCAGACGAAGTCCAACGCCTCTGAGATGCTACTCTCAATCATACGCAACCAGTTTGAAGACGCGGAGAGTAGCGGAGACGTCGCGTTTGTGACCAAAGTGCTGGATATGCAGACCCAGCAGATTCAAGAGCGATTCGACCAATTCCAAGAGAAACAGACACGCCAAGACGCAGCCCACCGTGCGCTTATCGGGTAACTACATGATTTTTTAGTAAAAATTACTTTTTGCTCTCTTTAAGAAAATTGAAAAAGAAAAACTTTTTTTATCAGAAGTTTTTTGTGTCTTGTCAAATTCCATCTCTGTCAAACGACACAGTTAAGATCATTTTTTGGCTAGCAAACATCATGCCGAATGTAACTTCGTGGACGGAGACAGAGATCACCGCGATCATTGACTCATGGAGCGAAGTGGAGACTAAGCATCCTTTATTGAGCAGTGAGCATGGCAAAAACAGACAAAATCTTCACGCGAAGATGTACGCGCTGTACTCGCAACGAATCGCGTATCCGCGAACGTCTTGTTCCGTCCAAAATTGCAAGCAAACTATTCGCGAGTTCGTCTTGTTTGTGGGTAGTTACGACAAGGAGCGACTGGAGGACGGAGGGCGACTGTGGTTTGATCTCAGCTTTCGAGAGCGTCATCAACGTCGTGGGTTGGTGCCACGTAGACCCCGAGGCTTGGCCACGTCTCTGAATAAAGAAGCCTATACCAAGTTGCTGAAAATGGAGCGAGCTCAGAGGTGGCTGGCTGGAAACTCACTAGCGAAGATGGAGGAAGAGCATCAAGAGACGCGAGGTGAGCAGCTCAAGTCGAGTTTTATCTCACCCGTCCAACCTGGCCTCGATTCTGAGCGTAGAGTCGGCTCGTTTGGAGTCTCAACTATGGGTGATTTCTATCCCCTGCCCGAGGCTGTTGCGGATCAAGAAGACGCGATGGAGGAGAAGAGTCACAGTCAAGTACAGGACCGCTCTGATACCAGTACGTGCAGTTTGTACTCCGAAGACGAAGACTCGCTGCGATCTAGTACACCCGAATCGCTAATTAGAGTGCAAGACACGAAGGAAATTAAGACAGATGCAGGGCTGCGACCATCGTTAAAACACCGAGATTGCAAGCTGCTTCTTGAAAGAATGATGGCGTTTCAGAACAGGACGAAACGTCGAGCTGTGGCCAAGCTGCGAGCGGGGATTGAAAGCGAGATCCAACGCAACTCCGAGATGTTGCTGTCGATCGTGAGCAGCCAATCTGAGGACCCCGAAAGCAGGAAAGACGTCGCGTTCCTGACGAAAGTGCTGAGTATGCAGAGGCAGCAGGTGCAAGATCGATTCGATCAATTCGAAGCCGAACGAATTCACGAAGAAGCGGCCAACCGGGCTCTTGTAAGCCAGCGCTAAAGTTCATATTGAAGGTGAAGGTAGTCAACTAATTTTTCGTTTTTTTTCTAATTAAAAAATGTTTTTTTTGCTCAATCCTTTTCCCATTTTCTGCTTCTTGAACACGTCGCGAGAATGAAAGATCGAACTATCTCCATCTGGAATGGACAGAAAAGGAGACGACGAAGCTAATTGAAGTCTGGAGCACCGTGGAGTCCAGCTCGAAGATTCGCCGACCTAGCAAATTTGGAGGTATCGATGCTCACATAGTAGCGTTGTTTTCCAGTCGCGGTAGTAACAACCGGAGTGCAGGTAGCGTCCACGCTCAACGAAGCAGGCTGTACGACGCGATCCGGTTTATTCACCGCTTTGACGAGATGCAGGCAGTTCACGGAGGACGCCTGTGGTTTGATTTGTCGAAGCACGAACGGGCTAAAGTGCGGATGTCTGGACAGGCTAACAACACGAGTCTTTTTCTTACGCAGGGGTCATTTAACACTCTCGTTAAGCTGAAGTCCGTGCGTAAATACACCCATGTTCGGCATGCTGTAGTGACCAAGCCCATAGTCGATGTGGAAGCTTCTGTGTGCAGCCCGGAGAATTGTCATTCGTGCTGGTCTACAACTGAAGTCAAGTCTCTTGTGCGTTCCTGGGTCCTATTTATGATAAAAACGAGCAACTCGATCTCTCGTTTCGTTTCTGAAAGCTCTGCGGAGTCTGCAACGTCGTACACCCCGTGGAATCATTCAACCGCGAGTGCGTGGCGCAAAATGAAGCGGATTGCGACGTCGTATCTGTTTATCCAGGACTTTGACACGAGATATGCTCCAGCAAAATGGTTCGAGCTATCAGATGGAGCACAGAATATGTGGATCGACTGGAATGCACTGCCAGCAGACTTTGAAGACATTTCACGAGATATTTACGATGAGATTCACAAAGTGGACTTCCCTTTATCATCATTGGGTAAAAATCTCTACACAGCACTCCCTCATAACTGCTCCATTTCGAGGGAAATTTCTGGCGATAATTCGATAGTTTTGAAGCTGGATCCGCCTGGACCAAAACTGCGCAGAATATCGCCACTTCTTCCCGACTTAAGCCCGACTAAGTCCCCAAAATCAACGATGCAAGCTTGTGACCAACACAAAGAGTGCAACGATCTGTACGAGAAGATGGAGAGACGTCAAAACAAGCAATTCAAGCGAGCGATTCGATGCTTGCGAACTGATATTGAGAGGGAATTCCGTGAAGGTGCCGATGTGGCACGTGCTGTTTTATTCGAGCGGCTTGGAAGCCCTGGCGACAGTGGTGACGCCACGTTTGTGGCAAATCTCTTGGACGATCAGCAGCGACAGCTTCGTGATCGCTTTGCTCAATTCCAAAGGGACGAAACTAAAGTGAATTTGTTCAATGTATCTTTGGGAAAGCACGGCTAAGAATACTTACTGAGAACATCAACGGGTTGTACTTGAAAATCAGCTGTACGGAAAATAAAAAAAACTGTAATTCGACAATGGCATTTACTGGAATCGAATAGAATCCTCTTAAGTACGAGTAACAAAGTAAAAGGCAAATTGGTCGGAGTTCTATGAAGTGACAGCCATGTACCTTACCCCTCCGTTACCAACGTCGTAACTTACGACTTCAAGGAGGGCACAAGTCGTAAGTTACGACGTTACTGGGATTCCTATATAGGAAATGGCTCGAGCAAAGCGGACACGATACTTTAATTAAGTCAATTTTTGCTGCCAAAAAATATAAGCTAGAAGAGGTAAAAAAAGAAGGCACTCGTTGTCTAGCCCGACTGGGTGTGAAAGAGTCAGACTACATTGCCCGACCCAACCCGACGGATGCCCGACTGACCCCGACTAGATAAAGGTTCAGTTGTGCAATCACAGGAAACGCACTCCAAGTATACGTGTCCAGCGCGTATACACGGATATTAAGACTCTGAATCTGACGAAGAGGGCAAAGCATTCAATGTACTCCGTTCACAGCGGATCCAACTTAGCACTCAAAAACGTTTTTCTAAAGTAAAACGATTGCTAACTTGTTAGGCTTACGCGCACATGCAGAGGTATCGATAGCGCAAATACTGTAGTTCCTTTCTGTTCAGGTAGCTAAGTCTGTCGGCCCCAGCAAACACTTCAAACGCCAGCAAGACATACATCCCGCAGTTAAAACTGTCGACCTGAACGCCTAGATTTCCACGATAGGGAGAGACACGATACTTTCGTGGGGCGAAATTTGGCAGCTGGGTCACTATCTTCTCAGTAAGCGCTCGGACTCCAATCATGTATGTAGAAGCCATTGGGTCGTACACGATTGCCTCTGTGCGCTCCACATCCACCATAATACCACACCAATGGTTCTTGTTGCAGCATACAGGGATCAGAATTTTCTCCGTCGACAAGTTCTTGAACATGTCCGCGAATACCGTCATCGGGACTGAGACAGCACCATGTTCCATTGGACCGATAACATTTGTATCCACAGTTATAATACTGGCTTTGGACTCGAAGAGCGAGGACATAACAAAGCTAATAGTATCGTCACTTAGTTGTGTTTTCCCAATGAGGTCCAGTATTTCCGCCTTAACTCACATTAAGGAAAGTTAGCATGAGCTGAAACGATTTTGTACAACGACAAAATACATACCTTTGATGACAGCAGGGGGATAGCCTTCAGTTTTGCTGGAAGAAT